TGGTGAGAGCTGCATGATCAAACTTGCTGGTAGGAAAAAAGGATAGCAACTGCTCCAAGCTCTGCTCTGTGATCACAATCATTAGCTGTACATAGCCAAAATAGCTCTGGTGACAACCTACATTCCTCTCCAGGCTGATCTCAGCTTTTAGTCAGAGGAGGTCAGTGGTTCTGTTTGGAGACATGACCCAAACATACGACCTTTGAAACAAGAGCAATCCCAGACTTCAGTTCCTTTAGAGCGCATGAAAAGTACAAGAAAAACAAAGTTATTCAGGAACTATAAGATTTTCCACCACTGGTCTGCATTATAACCTTAGCTTAGCTTCTTTTTCATGGTACCTCCTGAGCTCCAACCACACTGGCGCCAAAAACATTGTGTCTTGTCCAGTTCCTGAGTACCCTTTCCCAAAAAAACAACAACGAGGAAGCCCTCAATGCTGCATCTAAGACTGAGGTGTTGGTAAACTGTTACATCTGCTCCGGGACACTCACTGAAGACTCTACTTCCTGCTGCAGCTATGCTTCTAATGTTTCTGCAGCTCTGTGCCCCCACAAATATTTTTACCCACTGCTATTGAGTTACAGGAAATCAAAGAGAATGACTTTCAACATAATTCTGTTTCAAACTGGACAGTGGGCTTACGAAATGGCATAGCAAACAACTAAATCACCATAGACTGTGAAATAAAACGCAGAAAAATGATTGCAAACTGTAAAAAGTCAAAATGTGTCCTTTTCATGAGCACAACTTAAAAAAAGACAATGTTATTTGCCTGCAAAAGAAGCTGAAGATCTGCCACAACAGAGATGTAGGGATATATACATCTCCAACATATTATCTTTTTGAATACGGATATAATGGTGATATGAACCAGATAGAAGTGGGAAAGCTTCCATGGTGACATGACACCTGTTATATGACACTTTGTGTAGCAGTCAATGCTGGTCTTATTTCCTTGCCATGATTGTTGGCAGACCTATTTATTAACAGCAGACTATTGTGTGCCAGGATGACCTATTTCAGGACATTACGCTGCATCCCAAACAGTTCCTGTAGGCGCCGTAACAGTATGAGACATATCCACAATAAAGGTATGATTCACTACAAGAGGCCAGCAGTGGAAGTCGTCACCTATTTTTTCAAACCATTATGACATGCTACCAGGAAACCTTGTGATCAGCTATTAATCACTCACCCAGCAAGGAGATAAGGTGTGTGATGCACACAACCCATTTATGCCAAGTCATACAGTGTGGTGTAATAGGCCAATAATAAAGCAAAGCAGCCTGTAACATACAAATGAATGTGTCACCAAAACGAACAATGTGCCCGCCTCACACTGAAGGACAAGCTATATTTAATAAACTCCTACAATAACGTCATTATAAACTGTGTCAGTGGGTGTGGTGAGGGGTGAGGCTTAACATGAGACAAGAGGATGTCTCTGTCAATCAGCACGGGCCGCTGTAATACATATCATAACCATCAAAAAAAAACACAAAGCACCAAAACAAATCTGATATGTCTGAGATTTACAATACTTGGAGTAAAATCAAAAACCTGTACTGAAAATAACCACTCTCATATACATATAATCTGTACAACATATTGGACAGGCAATGAAACCTACATTTTTATTTACTGGAAAACTACTGCCACCAGCAGATGGTTTTATTTGTACAATATGTCTTAGGAGCGACACCTGTAAGTTCTTTGGATAGAGTATACATGCAATTTTGACAACTTTGTCATAACATTGCAACATGAACTTTGACTCTCTGTGTCAAACAACTGTTGCACAAAATGTCACTGCACTGTCCTCCGTCTATTCTCTCTTGGCAGCTCAGTAATGGTGACAGTAACCAGGCTGCTGATCACCTGTGGGCATTTTTCACCATCTCAGTCACTTCTGTACCAAGACAGACACGTGTATAAGGTGTATATATGCAACAGTATCCTGGGTTTTTTGCAAAACTGTTTCACAGTTTCCATAGAGATGAAAGAAGAGTATGTATAAATATCAATACACTAAGCACTCACTACCTGCTCAGCAGATAAAATCAGCATGAACGGCTCATAGATATTTCACCGCTGGCACATAAGAAAATAACTGTCGTAATCAGTAGCTGAAATGTTCATCACACTCACTCACAGTGTCGCTATAAAAAGTGTTGAAATAGAAAGAAGTCAACCTCTAATGATACAGGGACAAAGTGACTTTGTAGGTCTATGTGGAACTAAGCATTACCTTGATTCACTTGAACCAAAACCAACAGGATGTTTCCTAAGGATTTCTTGATAATTGCAGAAATAAATGCAGAATATGATTCATACACCAACAAATAAACACAACTTTAAAAAAGATGTTTGTAGCAAGTATGAAATTATCAGAAGTAAGTGCTAGTTTGAGGTTATTAACAAACTACCACTAAGCTTGTCCATGTTTCTGTGAAGACATTTAATACCAAAAATACCTCCCTACGCACAATTACGCACTTTTTTAAAGAACGTCTAAGCTTCTCATTCTGGGGTGGCGTTTTTACTTGATTTAATGCCTTTGTTCCCAAAAAAAAAAAAACAGTAGTTGGTCTTAGGACTCATTCTTGCAGCACTTTTTAAGAGAAGATTACACTATACAGTTTTTGACATTTTTTTCAAGATAGATTGTAATGAAACAAACAAGCATTAAAGGACGGTCGTATTGATACTAGGTGTTAGCTCAAACAACAAATCACAAGTATTTATCATTTTACATCAATTGTTTGTTGTGAGATGAAAGACAGCGAAGCAACTCAGTTTAAAAAGTGTCTCTCACTTTCTAACCATTCCTGTGTGTTGGGGCAGCAGTGACACACACGTACACACAAGCACGTTCACAGTGCTGACACACCCTCCCTCTGGATTTGTACAAAATTCAACTGGAGCATGAAAAACCAGCCTCAAGTCAGACACACCCTGATTTTGTTTTATCAGTTGGTCATATTTATCTGTGACACAATAACATATACCCTTCAGCCAAACAACAACAAACATAGGAGAAACTGCTCAGTATTTGCACCTTGTCTTGTGAGGCAAGTCACACAAACAACAGATCAGTCCCAAACAGAGAGAAACAAAAGAACAACAAATCTACAAATGACAAGAAGCCAAACATTTAGATTGTAGCTTCTTGTTATTTTTGCTGAGGGGCTCGACCAGTTTGGACAGGTTGTTAAGAAGTTTCCCAGCATGGAGAGGACAGGAGAGAAAATCACAAGTCAATAATGGCTTCAATTCAGTAAGAAAACTACAAGATTACTTGCACTCTTCAATGCCCCTCTTGACCAGGACACTCTTGTAAATGAGATTCTTAATCTCAAGGAGGATTCTCCTGACTAAATACATTTTAAATAAATAAAATCTCAGCTCCTAAAACATCAATATATTAGCATTTGTTTTCTAAAAACTAAAAACATTTAGAAAATAGCTTTAGAAGGAGTTAGATTGGGGAAAATTGCTGCTGTCTTCTAAACAAAAACAAGGTTGCTTGTTTAAGGTTCACTGTAAAATAACTGTTTCTACAAGTGTAAGGTGATATTAGGTTGGGACTGTTCCCATTGTCTAACTTTCTGAATATATATTGTTGATATCATACACAGATCTTACAGTCTGAGACAGCAGTGGAGCTGTCATTATGGTGTGAATGTTCAGGTGTCACAGGATCTGCTGTGCATTGGCCCCAGCATGAAACTAGGTCAGCAGCTCTACTGATATCATGCTACAACCCTGCATTTCAAAACAGCTTAAACATAGCTGTGAAATTACTGAATAATCAATATACAGTAGAACCATATACTCTTATCTCCATGCTCAATGTACTGTTAGTCAACTACCTTCACCTCACTTATCATACAGCTGTTGTTACACACAAGAACCCAAAACAATTGTGTCATGACACAAACTTGTTGCTGTATGCACATATCTCCCTCATGATATTCAACACCTGATGTGATAAATGACTCTTACAATTTCCATCAACACTTAAAGTAACAGACATTCGGGTGCCCTTAAGGTAAGTAATTGTGCCCATATTTACAGGTCTGACTAATTAGGTATGCCAGTTTTGAACAATACCAGACAGAGACCATGGCAAAATAAAGGCTGTCGTATCAGGGAGATAAACTAAGTTCACCTTGCACTGACTGGATGATACCCACATCCACAGAAATGTGGCACATTACTGTATTTAGCATCCACAGTGTTTTATGGCATACTCAAGTTAGCTTATGTAATAAGATGATGCTTCTGAATCAAAATATAAAACTTATTTTATTTTAAATGATTTCCTAAATCTGTCTAGCAGGGCTTTATCAAACAGATTTATGCTCTACAATTCTAAGCATTACAACTATAATTCAAGACAGGTCTCCTTTATGGCAGATTTGCTCTGTCAATTTCTTTCAATCCTTTGTTGACCGTAAAACATTTTTCTGATCAGTCCAAAGGGCCACTAGTCCCATCTGTGTGGAGCCTTTGCATCACAAGTTTTTAAAAAAAACATCAAACATGTTATACACCTTTGAATCTTTTTCGGGGGGGGGACGTCTGGGCGGAGGGCTGTTCTCGGCGTGTACTCGGCTAAATGTACTAAAGAGATGAACGTGGTGGAGGGTGAACATTTACGGGTATATCTGTTTTTTTACAGCAGCTTTTTTTTTTTTTACTTGACTTAAAGCTATTTGTTTTTGAATAAGAACTGTTACAATTAATCAGTTTTTCAAAAAACAAATAGGAAATTATTAGGTATCTGATTGATCATTTTAGTTGTTTTTCTGCTCTAGATTCTTTTATGTTAAATGTTTGCAGCTTTTCTTTGTCTTGTTTTTAAGTCAATCTGAACAGCTTTCCTCATTTTTTCCTGTTGGTCACACATAAACCAACTTCATAATCTACTTGGAAGGATTTTAAACAGATTAAAAAAAGGAACTAGGGCAATCAAAAAATAAAAGATGACTTACCAGACGATTCTCATCAAACACCTCCAACAGCAGACGATGCTTCCTGGGATCAACCTGAAACAAAAGGCAGAATGTGAAGTGAAGATGCAGAGGTTCTGAATTCAACAATGACCCATAGTCAACAAAGCAAAAACACAACGTTTAGCAAATGAGATTTGAATTTGAAATATACAATGCAGCAGTCAGTATGTCTCCTTCTCAGTTTTGATTCTGGTCAAGAATTGTCTGTATTTGTTTTGCCTAGAAAAGGTAGGCTGTTTTCAGGCATGCCAACACGCCCCTCGCTTTGCCAGATATGAGAACAGTTACCACGGCAAACCAAAAGGTGTTGCACTGATGGAAGTAGGTAAGCCAAATTGTTCAGTTATAATGGATTCCAGCTGAACTCAAAAGCATTGGCATTTTTGTAATCCACAACCAGAAACACTGTAAAACTTGGATAAAGTAAATAAAAGGCTACATGTCAGAGTTACATATTGCCCCTTCAATAAATTTCACTTACTCTGAAAAAGAATTCTTCATTCCATTGTGGGTCCAGTGTCTTTGTGTACCATGAAATGGGAAGGAGAAATAAATCAGAATTTAAGAAACATTAAGTCACAAATAAAATACATGATTCTGCAAATGTGGATTTCCACTTACTCACCTTTTTAATGGTTTTGGTTTGAAGACTTGTAAGTTCTCCATTGACAGGGTCATAAAGAGACAGTCTTGTATATGGATCGCTGTAAGAAAATTGAGACACATTTAGACCAAGCTGCAGCGTAAACATCCATTTACAAGGGTTTGAACAGTTATGATCTACTTTGTGCTCCTCGTGGTTTCTGTGTTCCCTCTGCAGGTCTCTTGTTGTCTAATTAGATCAGGAAGTGCATTCAGACCACAGTTACATTTACATAATGGATTCAGCTAATCTATGCTTAAGGAAAGCTTGTTAATATGTAATGTTTTGATAAACTCTGATCTCCATTAAAACCACATAAATCTGTAGCACTACATTATGAATGACCTAATCTAAAACTCACTTTAAACCTGTAGCAATGTTTCTTCATTAGTAATACATCAAGTGATTTATGTTGGATTGTTACTAAAACTTTAGTTATAACATAAACGAATAAACAATGATTAAGAAAAAGACTTAAAAACCTCAAATCAAATTACAAAATAAGCATTTCATAAACCCTTACAGTCGTTTACAGTAACCTTACTGTAATCTGACGTTGTTGTTGGATTGTATTAAGAGATTATTGGGGATTTAAAAATGCTTTTGAATGTTATTACAATTTTACATACAACCAAAAATATTTGTTTTAAACTCAAGAAACAGGCCTTTTTCAACATTTTCTGCATACTGAGAAGTGTTTTTGTTTACTTTACGTAATACCTTATTTCAGGCCCATAGGTCCATAACAATCATCAACATCACAGGGACAACAAGACAAGGATACGATTGTTGTTCCTCTTTACAGTAAAAATCCAACAAGAGGACACCCTACTGTAGACTAACCCTTATCTCTATTCTTTATTAACGAATGCTTTCAGAGGAAATACAAGGAGCCTATCAAGTATCTGATTCAGGTTCAGTTTCCTGTTGTGGTCAATGCTGCAGTCTCTTGTCGCATAAGACTCAACAGCCAACAAACTGAATCCGGTCCTTTATGCTCCTCTCTTTCCAAATTGCTGTAACTATATGTGAGAATAATCAATACTTAAGAACTATGTATCCCCAGAGTGTACATCATAAAAAAAGAGTTTACTTAAAGCTCTGTAGCACAGAACAAATCTGTGTATGTAATCATCAAGAAATTAATATATGTTTTAATTTGATCAAGTGTATGAATCTAATGTGTTTCTCTTTCACATGTCATCTAGGTTAACTAAACTTACGTTTGGTAACTGTTTCTACCACCAAATAGGCAATTTCTAGAAAATCTAGTCTGCACTTTGAATTTTTGATAAATCTTTTCTATATTGAAACATGAACTGAAGGTTTGTAAACTACTTTTACGTGCCATTCAAAGTTAAAGGACATTTTGAAGCTAAAATAAACATTTAATTGTTCTAGCATTGGGATGATTTTCAGCTCTTAAAGGCTTGTGTGCAATAAAATCAAGTCTACTCATTAAAAGATTTCAGACTCCAATTAGGGTTATTATTGAAAGCAACAGTAAGTAGCAGCCCTGCTCATGAGTTAGTAGAAAGTGTATACTATCTACAACATACCTGGCTCCGAGTATATCTTTTTTGGCCAAACACATTCCTGCAATAACTTTCACTTTCAGGATCCTGGCATCCTCCTGAAATAAAGATAAAAAGTGATCATGAGATTTTTAACTTTACAATTAATTGAAGAAAGAAATTGTAGTCCAAAAGAAATCTGTGATGCACAAATGTAATACTGACATAAAGTATCTGCGACAATGCAGACAACCCTCGGTCAATCAATTCTGTAGCAGACGAGGAAATACCACATCAGCTTAATGGTAACAAAGTCAATTCTTGACCATTTTTTGATTCCAAGTGAAAGTGATTGACAAGCTAAACAATAAATAACAATTATAAATCACTCTTAAAGTAACAAAATGAAAGAATTTGGTTTGGTGGGCTTTGGCGTCTACCAAAGGTCTCTTAAAGCACACAGTAGTTTTATGACACCCCCACTACTCTCCCTCACAGACAACGTACATTGTTGATGAGAAGAGGGGAGGTGAGAAGATAAAACCATGTCTGGTTGGGTTAGATTACTTTCTGCAAACGCTAAAGCTGTTTAAAATAAGACAACAATGACACTGACAACGATACAGCCAAACATTACATCGCAACCTGTGAATGACATCTGCAGGGACGTACACTCGCCTTCTTGCTCGGTCACTCTCTCTTTTCATCATCTTAGCTTCATCCGTCACAGTCCTCTTCCGTCTCTTAGCCTCATACAGTCCCGAGACAGGCAAACTAGCTAGCAGCCGTAAAGCTGTACACACGGCCTGCTACCAAACTTATAGTGATATAAACGGGCAACCAGAGTGTTCTGTGTACATGGGAGAAACCGTGTTCTGCCTGTTGAAAGTTTTTGTACTATTAGATCGACTCTGAAACTACTTTTTTAGGTGTGATAAAGTTTCATTCTGTTGCTTTAATTTCTGTTTATGCAAGATTCACAACATTGAGAACGCAATGAGTCAGCTGCATCATATAAACTATATGTTTCACCTTTAGAAAGAGAACAGCTGGATTGATGCATCACAAACCAACGGACACAAGAAAGTTCAAAATGGTAATGATGTCATATATTTATGAAAAATAGCTAATTTGGGTTAGGATCCCTTGGTGTCAGTCTGTACATGGTTAGCTCAAGTACTGAAGATAGCAGTGTGTATTGTCTTGTGTTGATGAGGTGGTGCAGATCACAGCTAAACAACTTTTGATGGAGATTCATACGTGCTCCCATTTCAGAAGTTTAGAAAGAAACAGCAAGTTACAATTCACTTAGCAGACTCTTTCATCCAAAGTGACGTACATCAGAGAGTAAGTACAACACCAATCCATTCATACACCGCCACCAAAGCAGAGGGAGCAATGCAGGGTTAAGCGTCTTGCCCACAGGACACATCGGACATGTTGCTCGGCTGGAGATCGAACCCTCGACCTTCTGGTTGAGATGGCGACGACTCTACCAACTGAGCCACAGCCGCCCGGAAATATGCAGAAATATTTGCGTTGTCAGAGCTAAATGAATTAACATAAAACAACAAGTTGTTGCTTTTTAACTAATTGTTCAATTGGTTGTATAAAAGCAATGGCACTAGGTTGTGGTGTTTAACTGAATACCATATTACATCTAATTCATCCAGATGCCAAATATTTTGGTTGGTCAATTGATGTGCTTCACTAGATATAAATTATGTGCTCTAAGTTCAGGTTTGCAATAGCACAAATAGCAAGGATCCTCCAGACAACACACTGATAAACCTAAAAGTGTCTTTTTTATTTTTGAATGAATCCCTGTCACATGCATGCAGCTCACACACCCAGTACAAAGAGTACGTGCTCCTCCGGGATGACGTAACATCCCGATAATAATTAGCACTTCAGAACATTTCCCATAAATCGGGTTCATAAACGCTTTTACTGTGACGTTAGTGAATCATCCTCATGATGTTTCGCAATCAATTTTACTGTCTTGCCGTACGAAGCATTACTTTAGGGCCCTCTTAAATGTACCTACAGATCTCACAGCATGAATTATACACCAGAAAATGAAGATTTTTAGTGGATGTGAGTTTGGTCCGTGTTTGTGCAGGGGAGGGGGAGACAGACTGCTCATAAGTCTTTACCCTGGTTGATAAGTGTAAAGCTAACTAAAACTATAGTTTCATCGTTAGCTGTGTCGATTTCCCACCTAAAAAAAGAGCGTTTACACATTACAGCTGAAGTGAAACTCCTTCTTGCAGGGTCTCGTCACCCAGCTTGTGAGTACGTCAGCTTGCCAATTAATTTCCGGACCATTCCAGTTTAGTTAGATAGCAACAGTTAGCGGTAACTTGTTAGCTACCTGGCGAGCTATCACATGAACAGCTTCATGCAAATGCTGGCAAACGAGAAAGAAGAGTAAGTTCAACACTACCTCATCCGCCTTAAGTCCTCGGATCTCTGGAGGAAGTGCAGCCATAATATCCTTTTTGCCCTTCTTCCTCCCTGAGAGCGACGACAACAAGAGGACAGTTCAGCAGCAGACTCTGAGGTTTTTTGTTTGTTTTTGTTTTACTTCTCCACCTCTATATGTTCAGCTCACTGCGTGTTTACGCTGGTAGACACCGTGAACCTGACCAAGTGGCTAGTTGTGACACTGTCGTCACCCACTGTGTACATCCTCCTCCTCCCCTTTCTTCCTCCCCTTTCTTCCTCCTCCTCCTCCTCCTCCTCCTCCTCCCCCTTTCCCCTCCTCCTCCTCCTCTTATTCACCCCAACAGTGTTAAGAAGTGACCGACCACCTGAAGGCATCATTCATTTGTCAGAAAATATGCAGGACACTTAAGAGAGGTGAAAGAAAAATGCTTTTTAGATATTATAGGACTTAAAAGTACTGTAGCCTATATTAGGCCAGAGTGTTTTTCAGCCCTTTTCTTCCAAAGTACGGCCTACTTAGATACCAGAAAGTGAATATAAAGACTGTTTCAGGAGTGATTCTTTCAGGTTTAGTATCAACGTGCACTTATCTTATGAAATAGATGTGCAAAGTATTTTTCTATTCTTAAATTCAATCTTATCAGATTCTTAAGTCCAAGATTTTATGATTGATTTGGATATGAATATGGGTGTATATATATATATATATATATATATATAGCTACATGTCATCATTAAATATTATATGTAACCACACAAGTGTTCTCAATAATCATCTAATTAAACACCCACACAGATTGCAGTATGCTGGAGCTATGCTGGAAATATGCAATTTTCAAACATTCTGTATAAGCAGAAATATCACGTTTAACTGTGGTTGGAATTCAATTTCCTGCTTTTATTATTTCCCAGGTTCCTGATTCTATTTAACATACAAACTGTAGACAATACAATTCTGTGATCTGTCTCATCCCAGAGTGTGAAAGCCACTTTCATCTTCTCCTTCTGAGAGAAGCACTCATTTCTTCCCCTCTGAGGATCAATTATGAAGGAAACACAGACTCCATATGTACTTAAAAACGTTTACTAGTTCAAAAAAGTCTTTACAAAGCAGTATTAATAACAAGCACTTCCTCTTATAAAGCACTTGCTTATATGCCAAAGAAAGAAAGAAAGAGAAATCCCTGCCCACTGACCAAAAGCCACAGCAACATAATAGTGGAGGGCATTTCTGCAGCTCTGAACACTTTTCAACAAGAGGAAGGGTATAGTCTTCATTGAACACAAATATCAATGCTAAACCCATAAATGCAAACTTTTTCACAGACACTGTAAAGGTGAACATAAAAACGGAGAAAACTGATTTAATTTAAAGTTAAAAAGTCTCAATGGCTCAAAATCAAACATTTCTCAAAATTACATCATATATACGATATATTCTTCTCTTGCAGTTATTAAATTATTGTTTAATTACTGTATAAAGCTACTCCTTGTATCAATACACTGCAATAGATTCATTGTATTGTATTTGCAACATATCAGGACTTTAATTATCACTTTACAGTTATGGATTGTCTCATTTTTGCATGTTTTTTTAAAGTGTGCAAATCTTTTCTCGGATTGCGTTCTCTCAAAATGACGTCCTGAAGAGATTTGGATATCAAGGTGAATCTTATTTTTTCTCATTTTTACCCACGTTGTTTAGGATAACTGTATTGTCTGTGATAAGTGGTTAAAAACTATGACACTTAAAAATAAAAGTGTGCTACAAAACATTGTAACAGTGCAAGTTAGATTATTGTGTATTCACAAGATTATATGCGTTTCAAGGTGAAATCTTCTGTACAAACAACACTTTTAATAAATAGGAGTAAAATGAATACACACAAGACATTCTGTACAACAAAGACAGTTAGTGTTACTGACAACATACAACACACACAGGGGACGAACGCTATTACAGAGAAGCATTTGTGATAAATGACAGTGTTGTTTCTCTATCTGATCAGTGTTGGGTTTACAAAAGCTGAGAAAAAAAAAGTTAAAAAGATCCTAAATATTGCTCTGAAGTTTTCATTTTATAAAGTAATGAGTTTCCAGCAGCATATGTCACCAAGGTCTTCTGGTTTGTTCCTTAATATTACATGATATATTTGTTATGGCTGTTATCAATGATAACTCACTATGTCCATTACATATGAGATTTATATTAGACAACGTAGATCCAAGTGCATGTTTCATCAGGTTATAATTAATAATGTATTCTTTGGTATGGACATATGGCTCAGAGTCAAACCCTCAGGAGCTTCTGTGACTTCTTTACACACAGCCATAAGTACTGTAAAGCATGAAATCCACATTTGATCAGTGATAAGCTGTTTAACCTCAGTGCATACATGATAAAATGTTCAAAACAAGCACAGTGCATTTATGTTCAGAAACAAAAGAACTACAGATTGTCAGAGCAGTGTTTTGAGTGCTACATTGAGAGCCAACATTTTCGAGTTCTTCTTGTGTTTTTTTGGGGTAAATCATCTACTTAGTGCATTCTGTTGTTTCCAGATAAACACTTTAGCCTGGACTCAAATGTGTTATTTGCACACAATATAAATAATGTATTACTATTTTCATGATTGTAATTTTTTTTTTTTTTTTTTTAACATTTTCATTTTCATACTACAAAAGTGCGGGAGCATCCCATTCAAGGGGATTTACTTAAATTCTTAATTTGTTATAATTTATTCCTTTTTCCTTTTAGTAGTTGAAAGGTTGGAACACTCAGCTTTAGTTGTTTGGTGTTCCCTTTATATATACATAGACCACATACACCATGAAATTTGTCTCACAACCCCCCACAATGCATTTTGTGTCCTCATTGTCATAGAAATATTATTTAAATACTTAGTGCATAAATTGGTTAAAGGCATCCATGCAAGAGTTCCTCATTCTTTTTTCCAATGTGTCCACATTAAACAACTAAAACCACCAAGGGACTTAATATGCCTTTTTGTCCTAACCCCCCCCCCCCCCGACTTAATCAAATAGATTTATTGCAGCTTCAATACCTTTATAGTAAGGGTTAGTTTAGATGGTTGCAATACTGATGTATATTGCAGTTTTGGCTTAAATATATGTTAAATGAATTATGTAATTAGAATTATGTCAGCCATTAGTGACAACTGATCATGGTAATATATTAAATGTATTTATTGTCTCTAAGCAACATCTATAAAATGAGTGCATATTTTTTAAACATATTTTGTGATTAGATTTTTGTATGTGCAAGAAAATGCCCTAAAAACAGACTTTACACAAAATTATTTAGTGCACATGGGGCAAAGTTCATCTCTTCTCTCACTATTGATACTTCAATTTTTTTTTTAATCTCGTACACAAGTGTTCTATACACGGCATACTGTTTACAGATCATAGGACATATAATTTGTTGTGTTGTAGTCTGTTCTGTTTTAACTGGATTATGGCTGTAGTTAGTTACCAACATTTAGACACAATGATATATAAAGATATTGTTGTTAATGGATAATCAATAATTGTGGCATATGTTTCCTCAGTGCTATACACTTGGAAACCCATGTCTCTGTCATGATTAAATGAAATATCAAACATAACATATAAAAAGCTGTTTAAAGAGTAGGTTTTTTTTGTACAGTCACCTTTGTTTACACGTTGGAAATGCTCTCAATCAAACAAAATGAGGGGGTAATCTCTGATTAGAGTGAAATGACCAGCATTTTAATCAGAGCTTTGCAGCATTATTGCAGTTCAGTCTGGCACTTAAACTGGACAAACCTCAATGAATCCAGAGTGACATTACAAAGTGTAAAAAAGTAAAAATAGATAAAAACAAACAGCAACCACTGATTAACATATTATACATGACTGAAAAAAACCCACTCATCTCAGCCAATCAACCCAACAGTGGGATGGTCTTTGCTTTCCAGCCAGTCGAGTCCACTTGAATGTGCCGCCTCGCTGGTTATTTGCTGAAAGAGCGCATCATTCACAAACTCCTCCTCCTCCCTGGCAGTATTTTGATATTGCCCTTGCTGCTGGTTTGGGTCAAACAAAAGGTTTTTGTCCAGTGTGTTCAGGTCATTGATGCTGTTGGAGAGCTCAGATGTCATTCTGATTTCACACGGGAAATCTGCTCCCCCTGATGTTAGTTCTGACACCTGCTCCATGAGCTGACATCCAGCAGTGAGCCCATTGTCTGTCAGGAGGTCTTTCACTGAACTGCTAAAATCACACTGCTGATGCTGCTGGTGATCTTCTAGATGCTGCTGTGAGCTCAAAGAGACTCCTGAGACCATTTGCTCTCTGCTGTCACCTGCTGACTGAATCATTTGTTCATTAATAGCATTTTCCATGAGGTAATTTGGCCTCTGTAACATGCACGTGCCAGTGGACTCAGAGGTCATCAGTCTAAGTTGATTGCCACTACAAGAAAGGTTGTTGTCAGACTCAAGGAACTGGGTGAGGTTCATGCGTGCAGTGTAGCTGGAAGGTAAATTATTCATGCCCAAACCCCGCACAGAGTCATCGTGGGTCCCATCTAGCTTGCTCAGAAGGACACTGGTGATGTTTTTGCTGTTGCATTGTTGGCCCTGCGCAGGCAGGACCTCAGTTTGCATCATGACATTAAGCGGCACAGAATGACTCCTCTGGGCCATGCTGCTCACCCCGAGATTTGTCTGCGTGTTTGCAAAAATATTCAACACTTCAGGCGTCACGGGAGAGTTAAAGGGAGACACGACTGAACGAGGGATATGTGGAAGGTTTCCTGTGTTTCCGGTAAAATTCCTCTGATGCACTGCAGGGCTCACACTGCGACATCGGAAAGCAGGCGAATTTGTGGCTTTGTTATCCAGAGGGGCGGGCACAGCAAAACCCTCCTGCTTAGCCATGCTATTGACCTGCTGCTGCACAGGAGAGATGGGGGTCAAGCAGCCAAAATGGCTGTCGTGGTGCCTAGCGTGAGGGATGGCAAAGGCGTGAGGTTTTTGAAATTGGTCGCCTATCAGGCCTTGATAGCTGGGGAGGATTCCCATTCCGTTGTTTGATTTGTTTAAGCTCCCACTGTTGCTGTTGTAACTGTTACTCATCCACTCCAGCCTGGTCTTGTCTGGGTGGGTGGCCATTGGTCTCTGCATGGGCTTGATGGGGCTGCTGGAGACGGTGCTGCCGTCATGGAAACCGGTCATGCTGGAGTTGATGGGTGTAAATGCAAACTGGTTCCTGCACTCCACTGGACTGGGGGGCACATTGCTGCTGCAGTTGGAGTGAGGAGTACCGACCGGGGTGTGCCGGCTGCTTCCCAGTGCGCTGTCCACCGGAGTGGTGGAGGCGATGCGGGAGAACGGGCTCTCTCCAGTGAGGCCTTGGACTCCTCCCATGATTTCTGAAGTTGGTGTGGGTGTTGGAGTTTTGATGGGGTTGCTGTTGCTGCTGCTGCTGTTTGCAGCATGATAGAAGGCTGTCATGGACTTATTGGTGGGCATGATGCTGTCTGACATCATGGTCTGTTGGCCTGGCATTGCAACACCATCTCCAAACTCCTGCATGTTGTTAAGCTTCATCTGCTCCTCCATCTGCACTAGCTCCTCCACAATGCTGTCCTGAGTCACGTCATCGTCGAAGGAAAAGTAGTTCATGTCAGTCTGCATGGGGAGCTGGCTCGATGATGAAGTCTGATTGAAAAAGTGTACATTTTCAGCAGCATTGTTAGACAGCATGTAGGTCTGTTGTTGTTGTTGTTGTTGTTGTTGTTGATGTTGTTGCAGTTCAGAGTTTAAACCAACATCACCCACACCTGGATGTCTTTGGAGGTTGTGGTCATTAGGTACGGCATGTGCGTTAGACGCCGTGTGCCCCTGCTGTTGCTGTGTAAATGCATGACTGACTGAGGAGCTAGTTTCCATAACAGTTGAAGTGTTTTTCCTCTGCATTGAGCTTGCTGTTTTGGCAGCAGAGAAGCATCCACTGGATCTGAAAGTTGAAGTGCACAGTGCTTGGTCCTGAGTGGAAGAGCTCATTTTTGTCTCTACCTCCCTGGTTGCTGGTGCACTTTCAGGTCTAGTTGGAGCTCCTGGCCTGGAGACATTGGCAAATGTGTTTCTATTACTGTATCCAAAACCGGCGCCCTCCACTGAATGTTGTGGCATAAAAATCCTCTTACTGGAGAAAGGTCTGGGCTGAGGCCTGAACGTTTCCTGAGGCTTTTAGTGGCTAAAAAACCTTCCTTTGCTGATGTTACACTGCTGCTTTCCCCACATGAAGGCGCTCTGCTGGTGTACATTGAAGAAACAGTGCTGGCATTCATGATGGAAGGGGTTGAGTGCCTATGACCTGTATTATTAGTGCTATTATTTCTGCTTTCTGCTGCTGCCACAGTGTTAGTGCTTATGGATGTCTTTGTGTTCCATTCAGTGCTGTGTGATATTTCCTCCAGACCCAGGTAGCCTTTAGTCTGAGGTATGGGTACACTGGCAGCCCTTTGCACAGCCCCTCCAGCTCTATTTGCCATTACTCCTTGAGTCAAAACTAGACTGCTAGGATTATGCATTTGGCTGTTTTTATGTATAGCTTCAACTTCCATTTCAACATCAATGGTAGGGGTGTTAGCAGTCGGCCCTGGTCTGGCTGGCGGGGCTAGGATGGGGATTGCAGAGGTGCTCCTCATGCTTTGATTGTTGCTGATGTCATCTGTAACTGCAGAAATGCTAATGCCTGCGGACGCTGGCCGCAGAGTGGTGTTTGTTAGAGAGGTGGTGGTGCTGCTGCTGTTGGTTGTGAGCGGTATGGCTGTCATCTTCACCAAACTGACTGGGCTGACATGACAAGTGGTCATCACAGTCTTTATGGGACTGTTGCCGATGATCATGGTGGAGGGCGAGCGCAGTGCGACAGTAGGAGAAGGCTTGGGCAGGATTTGTGCATAGCGCTGCCGAGCAGAGCGTTCTCCCGCTAGATTGGCTAAAATATTTTGAGGGGTTTTTGGGCTCTGTTTAACTGCTTGAACCGGCTGGGACACCATTTGGAAGTTGATGGGCAGCACTTTGTTCTCCACTGTTGCCATAGTGCTGGGAGACATCAGCTGGCGGCCTCGCTGAACCTAGAGAGGGGGAAGCCAATCAGACAGAGGAACAACTCAATTCGGCTATTAATTATATTTTGCATGTGGTGTTTCTTTGAGCAGATTTAGAACGTTTTTAAAGCACGTACATGTCTGGCCAAGGTTTATGAGTTATAGTGCAGTAAATGGTTTATTTCTTTAGTTTACCTTACCATGTGTTTTGTTGAATGTAAATGGATGTTGGTTCTGTTCTGTAAGATGACTACAACCCAATGACCAATCGTCTTTTTTCACTTTCTGATTTGAATGACTTAGCAGAGATGGTTTTAAAATGTGTGTCTTGTCGCACAAATTGATTCAGTTGTATTACTTTCTTGGCTGATTAATTACAGTACATAGTTAAAAGAGTCCTGCTTTCTCACCGTGATAGGGCTGGGTACGGCAGTGACCATGATGCCTATGGTTGGCTGAGGCGACGGAGGCGTTGGACTCGCACAGGGCATACCATCATCTGTCCTCCTTGCTGGTCCCTCCCCAGGTGAAGGAGACTGCAGCTTCTGTTCCTGTTGCTTCCTCTGAATCTTCCTCTGGAGCTGCTGCTTTGCATCAACAGATGGTGAGGACAGCGTTGTCACATGAGGCTGGTAGGAGTGAGCCTCAGAAGTGGGGACGAACGCCGAGACTGCTGGAGGAGTATGAACCTCTAAAGGAATAGGATTTGTTGTTGTAGGAAAAAAAAAGTATTAACCACATTACTACAATATGAAAATACACTGATGTATAAGCTGAAGTTTAAATTGATTTGAGAATTAGACATCACAAAACAAAGAAATAATAAGTCTTTATTGTTTATGTTGAGACTAGTTCCTTCGGCAGCAACTGTTAATCTTTCTGGGGACTGCATCTTAAAAAACTCCAACTTAGTTATTTATTACAAATAGATTATATGTAAATATTGTAATATGTATTACATTGTGAAAGAAATAAGATAATAAAGACGTTCATACATATAAATATAAGATTATTTATTTGGTTTAAAAAAAAACAAAAAAACAAAGAAACCCTAACCCAATTACACCAATAGCTGATCAACTTCATCATATGTAACAGAAACTTTTTAAAAAGGACCAAAAAAGACCAAACAAATGAGAACTAACTAACAGCTGCAGACATGAGTCCACACATGATTACACAAAGAGATCATATATTAAAAGTTACACAATATCAAAGAGGGATTTCGGTTTACCCAGTCTGTCTTACTTGCACTTACTGATTCTCTGATGCAGACTGGAATAAATGGGCAGTAACAGCCATTAGCCACCAGAGGCCACTACATACTTTTTCCAACACAGTGGGGCAGACATGAGCTGAGTCTTACCTGTTGCTGTGCCGGTTGTAATGGTGAGAGCTGCTAAAGACTTGTTGCTGATGTAATGGCTGTCAATGAGGAAGCGAGCTAGCTCCTCCACTGCATCAAACTGGCGTTTCAGAACCTTTTGGGCCCACTCACACACCAGATCGCATGCCGCAAATCGAACCTCCTCCTTGATGTTGTTCAGCTGCCCTGCTGACTCCAGAAGGTCACACTGGAGCTACACACAATGCATAAAAGGTCAAATATATATGACAAATAGTTTATAAAGAGATTGTGTTTTATAATGCAAAAGTTATAATGAAATGTCAATAAGGAAGTTGTAAATGTACTTACTACATCGCCTGATTTATGGTTATCGAGAGTGGGCAAAGATGGCATGTGAACAAAGGGCCTCTTTCTGAGTCCACTATAGCAATATGTAAGCTTGTTAAGATCAACAACTTGTGGTCCAACAAAAACAAACATGGTAATAACAACAATACATAACCATTGTCCACCAATCATTATCATTTTCATATCAAAATCTATAACATCAAATTTATCAAAGTTTATATTCATTACTGAAACAGTTTACAAACTAGGTAGCACAAAAGACCAATATTGCCACACTATAATGAGACAACATACACAATGGACACTTAGGAGTCTTAAAGGGGCAGCAGGCTTGGTGGAGTAATAAGTTCCAGTTTATATTTAAATGTTTATGCCTGATCTGATTGTGATATAAGTTTTATGGCCCAAGTTCTAATGTTGTACCAATACATTCTTTATGTAGCATAAAAAAATGTTTTTCTGTATTTTAATATGAATGCAAGATTTGTCTATTCTTTAAACGTAATAAATATTAGGATGAGAAAAACCCAACGACATGGCAGGCTTTGTAGAGAATCTAAGTGTAGATTGACACAGTAAAAAAAAAAACAGGACCACGCAGGTTCTTTAGCTTTACAGAAAAGATGAACTGCAGTGGTACTGATCTCTATCAAATGTTTTGTACTGTTTTCCTGACAGAGAGTTTGAACCTTGTTACACACCTTCAATCAAAAGTGTGATGATGCCTTGCACAGAAAGTCAAAATACATGTATCCATTTATAAGCTATCTATCACCAATAGCTGTGACTGAAACCTCTTGAATACATTTAGGAAACAACATGGACCTTGCTTAAACTGCGCTAATACATTTGCATTACACCATATATATAACTTATGCAATAAAAAAACATTTGAATAATTTTCATTCTCGTTTGTTTTAGTGAAAACAGAAAGGCATCCAAGTCTACTTAAATTCAACTTAAAATTCATTTTTCTGATGCTGTGTTTCTATCAGTGTTCAGATCAATTTAATCACTTTCAGGTTAAAACTTTCATTTCAATTGAACATGTTGATAATGAACCATATACTTTTTAGACTGTATTTTAAACAAGTGGTTATATTTGGTAATAATGTATGAATGCATCATTAATCCAAGTTTCTTTGAGCATTCAAAGGGAAACCCCTTCAAGTTTTTCCATATTACAAGACATGAATTAATAAGTTATGAGCTCACCTTACATTACGATACTTTTGAACCTGAATGACTAAAGGTCATTAACATGTACACAGTTGTGGAAAAAACGGACACAATTAAGTCATGGAGGTCAAAATTACAGACTCCCCTTGGGCCTCTGTATTATGCTTGTGCTTCTGAGGCAGAGGGGGACTTTATTTCATTTCTCATCTATATTTAGAGAGCTTATGAACTGCAACAGCAGATGGTCTGTGACCAGAGACAGAGGCCAGACGGTTAAAACCCATTCCAGTAAAGGATATTTAGATTTTCCTCTCATGCCAAGTCGGCGCGCTTTCATATTGGGGAAGACATTTTTCATCATTTTTCCAAAGTCTGCAGCACTCAGCGGGTGGTAGTTCAAATTGTCACAGAAGCTCCTGAAACGCAAATAAGAAAATAAACAGTCAGGTCAGTCCAAAATCAAACAGCAGTCAATGCATTGAATCCTAAAAATGTATCATCACACTGAGCAAGAAAAAATTCCCCAATTAACAGGTACCTTGCAGCTCCCCTCGGCAGAGAACTTTAGTGTCTTTCAGCTGATTGTTTCAGTGTTAAAGCACATTACAGAAACTTTTGGGTTCATTCAGATTCTTTCCTATGTTCTAGCAAAAAGTGTTTTCAAGCTAAAAAAGTACACTCCCTCTCTAATTAGAAGACACTATGATGATCTATTAGGGAGTTAAGTAGATTTAAAATAAAAAGAAAAATGTTTTCATCAGTAGCTGGTGGAGACCAAAAGAGAGCAACTAGAAGAAATGAAGGTGTTAATCTGTAACTGCTGGACAAGTAAATGGACACCTCTATGCTAAAATGTTCACTTAATACCAACTAAAAGGTGAATTTTTTGTCAGTGTATATTTAGATCCTGTTGTTTTCCCCCAGAGAGGCCAAAACACCTCAGCTAAAGCAAGTTCAAATGTATAATAAGTGAAGCTGAAGAGTGTAGAACTGCAACACTGGAGTTTAATTGTGGCTCACAGTTTGACACATATGTAAACGAGAACATGCAAACTACTCTGAGTGACAACCATATCTGACATTCCCATCTTACACAAAGTGTTAAGTACTTTGTACTAAGTACCCCCCCCCAATGAAAGACTTTATGAAGAGTTTATGAACTCTTTCTTTCTTTCTTTGGGACTTAAGAAACAAAATTTAACTATAAAGTGTGAAAACTGATTTAGAGTGGATTGGCTTCATCGAATGAGTCAAAAAAACAACAACAAGGTGTTACGCATTGCATCTCTTTAAAGATGTTTCACGTGTCTATCCGAAAGGCGCCAATATTTCTGGAGGGCACAGTATTTCTGATCTGTTCGAGTTAAAAAGACAGTTACATAACACTGTCAGAACATTTCAATGGCTGTCTCAGACTTTCCATTCTAATATTACCAACACATGTTGCTCTCTGTGATTCCCATGCCTGCAGCGTCTATTTATACAGACGCTTCAGCAACCGGAGGAAGAATCTCACACATTAGTAGCTTATCCATTCAAAGGTTCAACGCCAATGAAAACCATTCAAATACAACAAGAAGTCTACGGTTGAGTTGTGGAAAAAATAAGAGTTTGTGTTTAATATGAAACTATAAATGTAACAATAAAGTCTCAGCTTGATATTGGTTAGTCGTGTAAAAATGTATCCATGTGTGTAGCAAACATTTTACTCTGTTTGAACGTACTTGTATTCATCGTAGACTTCCTGTTTGGGAAGAGACGTCTCTGGGTATTCCTCTAAATGATCACGGATCCAGCTGAACGCATGCATCTGCTGTGTGCGGCTCGATGACAGGGCACTCTGGTCACTGAGAAAAGAATGTGGATCATTTATTGACTGAATATAACGACAAAAGCAACAACATACTACAGACTAAAGTCACTCAACTCAGGTCCTGAGTGTGTGAAATAATAACTATTTTTCTATAGTATTTATGTCTAAACCTAGAAATAAGCAAACAGACTTGTTTGTAACTGCCAATGATTGATTATCTGAGTGGTTTCCTATTTCATCGATTCACTTTTCATCATTCTGAGTGGGCAGGTGTATTCTTACCTTTTTTCAGTGCAGCTGCTGGGACCAGAAGGCAACTTAAGGTAGAGGTAGAGTTTTTCTATGTCAGAGAACTTCTCCACATCTTGCTGTAAAAATAAAATAGAGTTTTAATATTTGACCGTTTTATTCATCAAGAAAAAATACCATCCAAAGTAGAGCGGTGTGAAAGATCCTGACCACAATGAGACAGATTGAAGAGATCTTTATGTGCAAGCATGCATGCAGCTGCCCTAACCCTACCAGAGGATACATTTTATTGACTCTAGTTTTTTTTTTCATTACTGGACGTTGTATGCCTTTATTTTAGAGATAGGACAGTGGATATAGTCAGGAATCAGAAAGAAAGAGAATGTGGAATGAAACGTGGTAAAGGAGCCACAGGTCGGATTCGAACCCATGGTTCTTGCACACTAACAGCTAGGCTACCGGCACCCCCAGCTTTGGTAAATTGTAGTAAAAAGTATCTACAACTGCTGACACTATTTTCACAATCTGGTTCAAACAAGCATCAACATCTCCTCCAGTTTAGTAGTAATTAATCCCCCTAACTTTTCATCTAATGACATTAACAGATTGAAATTTGTATTGCTCTATTTGATGAAACAACTTGCCAATCTAATGAGAGTCCAATCATCTATAGTTTGTTTTGTCTTACTGGCGTTAGCATGTAGCTCAAAGGATCCCAATCATCAGGTGATATAATTTAAATCATTCTCAGATAGGGAAGAAGATTACAAATTCAAAAGTAAAAGAATGATTGGAGGTTGAATAGTTAGAAAGAATTCATCAGACTTCAGCAACCCACTCCTTCCTTCTGCGTGAGGCCACATTAGTGACTACTCACATAAACCCTGAGTTTTTTTTATAAACAACAACGAGTGCAAAAAAAGGCTTCTTCTTCAACACCAATTCATGCTGCTGTTTTAGTAGAGTTCATCTTGATTCCAAAATTGCACCGGTGCAGTACTAAGTGGAGCACTCACACAAAGTCTATGTGCAATTCTATGAAAATGCTGTTTTGGGTAATCCATAAACTACATTTCATTCGTACACCATCCCTTTAAGTTAACCATCCGTTCTACAAGTGAGTAGCATGGAAAAGTTTTACTTGAGCTTAAGCTTAGCAGCGTATAGTTACAAAGTATAAATATTCTGCCTTGATACTGATATAGAGTAGAGACACAAACATGTCCACGGGAACAGTACGAACACAGAGAGGGAGTAGGGGAGCGTGTAAGGTGAACTACAATCCTCTGCTGTTAGCCCTTCTGCCGAGACAGCTCGCTGCCTGCTGCTGAGTGCACAGACATACATGTCTTCACTCGGAAATATTCACTCTCTCAATTGGCTCCTAAGAATAAATTCTGTTCTGTGTGTGCTCACTCTTTAACTACTTGGTTGTTAGGGAACCACAGCTCACTCATAGCTTATTATACAGTAACAGAGGGCAGCCATGAACCAGACATGTAAATACAAGAAGTTGTTTTAGATGAAGAAATGTTAAACTTTATCAGTTGGTGTTTACGATGATCTGTATTTCTAATGATGTTCCACATGAACCTTTGTAGTGCATCATTCTGAGGACATTGTTGGCCTGTGTACACAAGAAGAACTATCAAACATGTAACAGAGAGCCACATAACTGAGAAAACTTAGTGGAGATACACTGATTGGTATATGAATTGACTCAGCGATTATAAATAGCTAGATTAGCGGTTTATCAATACAGACATTTCTACAATAAGAATTCCTAATAATTTTGGTTTTAAGCTTATTTTGAATGAAAAGCAGCTGGTTTTACTATACAAAGTAATCGTTTTTAGTTTAGCTTTGTGTCGAGTTTTTTTTAATAATAATAATTTATACTTTATGAATTCGTTTTTTTCCCCTCTGTCTAAAGAACATGCTACACACACATGGTCTGAAATACACACACATGCACAAACAGGATCCTATGGACATGCATTAAGGCTAGGTTTCAGAGTGAGGGGGCTGCCCACAGCAAGCACTCCTGAACTGGTGGGGGGGGGTTCGATGCCTTGCTCAAGGGCACCTCGGCAGTGCTCAGGAAGTGGACTGGCACCTCTCAAGCTACCAGGGCCCTGACTACAGGTACTCTGAAGAGCTCATTCATGTTGAATAACACACTGATTTAAACTCCATTCAGAGAGGAGAAAACTATATGAGGCGGGATTACTGAGAGCATATCTGAACCATCACTGAAGCTGCAGTCAGAGGTTTATCTCGTTTCATCATTCATAGAGTCTCACTGCAAATCAGTATGTGTGTCCCTGAATTATCGGCCCATCACACGGACTTTACACTGAGCTGACATCCTGGGGAAGAACACTTTTTCTAGGGTCTGGGCAAGTTGAACAAATCTTCAACCTTCTTTCAAATATAAATGGCATCATACACCTTACATTGATGGAGGTCATAACAACCAACCAGTAGACGTCACCATGTCAGTATAGATGTCAAGTTTTTATTAGTTGTTTCTTAAGATCTGCATCAGACTGATCTGTCCTTTCTTTGTAAATTGTATACAAGAAGGGGCAAAAGGCCCATAATCAAACAAATTTAACTCTATGTTCTCAAACCAAAAATAAACAATGGATTGTATGCAATTTTTACCCCCAAAAACCTTTGTAAGAAAAAAAAAGATTAAAACTGCAATTTGAAAAAAAAAAAAGAGTAAAGAATACTTACCAGAATGTTTTCCACTTTTGATTGAACGGATTTGCTGCAAAATGAAGACATAGTATAAATTAGTATGAAGCTGGTGTAACATGAGCACTTATGACTAAAGTCTATTTATTTATAAAGCACAGGAATGTTTGGTATGTGTCGACCCTCCCTTTAGCATCTCTCAGGTCATATATCCCACGCCAGGAACATATGTTGTCATATGTAAAAAAAGGGGGAGAGAGAGAGAGAGAGAGGGAGAGAGACACTCTGGTATTATTGTCTCTGACAGACGGCTTTTATCACACAGGGCAGAGTGTTTCATGGACTGGCATAGAGTAAATATACTTTACATCTGTCTTATACCATTCAACCTTGAAGGCAGAATTCGATATATATATATCTATATATATATAGATATATATATAAATTATGTTCCACCCATAACTCATAGATGTCTTTCTCAATGTAATACTTGAACATATTTTAAGAAATGCAAAAAAAATATTATCACTTCAAGTTCCCGGATGTTCCAACTCTCAACTCTCTACACTACCAACTGTATATTCTTCATTAGTGGGCCGTTTCTCTCAAGAATACAGTACAAATATAAAGTTCAGAACAATGAGTTTATCCTGTGTGACAGTTTTGTGAAAGATTACATATTCAGGCAAAAACAAGAATAAGAGAGCATTCATCCTAAAGCTCCAGACTGATTCAAACCACAAAGAGTCACAGCAGAAACATGTTTAACCTCTCCTGGTCTAGTTCTTAATCTGCAGTCCAGTCAGGATGTTGTTGACGGTGAGACAGAAGGCAGGTTGAATTCAGAGACAGGTCAGAATCAGGGGATGCCCTAAGCCATGACAAGAACAGTTCACTTTAATTTACTGTAACCAGGGGGCCGGAGCTTTCCTAGTGCGGGAAAGGCCATCATTAAGCTGTTTGTGAGCAGATTTGGCAGCCAGGTCAACTCACTGACACATGACACTTGGTTAAGAAAAAGTTTTTAAAAAAATACCAGAGACATTTCTGATAAGATCTTGTGATATATTCCCTGCTGAAAGTCCACATTAGTTGTTGATAATGCAAATGAACTTCCTGACACCAAGACTGTCTCATTCGACAAAGAACGTCTGAGAAGCAGGTCGTCAAGGTGAACGTCAACATTTATGCCCTAATCCTCTTAAGGGTTAAAGATATTGAGAGCAGGACGAATCAGGGACATGAAGGGTTAGCACATGGAGAGCGGAGACAGGTGTCTGCCGATATTTTGGAAGGACAGAATCGTCGCTGCCGATATTTCAGTATCAATATTCAAGTGAAACAGAGACACACACAGACAGTCAATGTGACTCTTCATGCTGATTTTGAAAGAGAATGGTATCCTACTTTGAAAAATATTACAAGTGTTGCTAGTGTTAAATTATTTGTATCCCCACAAATATGAGGAGGATCACGCCTGCCTATACAATTCAAATCATTAATAGCCGAAAAAACATTAAGGACAAACTGCTTTCTGGTGGTTCAGTCTCTTGACATTTTATGGCTGTTTGACATATACGTGGTAGTGCTCAGCTTTATTCAGACACAAAAGGGCATTTCAGTAAGAACACAGCATGAAACAATAGCAACCGCTGATTATATAAAGAATCATCATGGTATAAAAGGTTGGTATTATTTTCTTATACGGTCAATCTTAACTTTTACTGCTCCTAGTCCTTGCATTCAGTTTGTAGAAATACTTCTTGTTTGTTTGTGAATAGCCATTGGTGCCAGTCGTCCTTATTCATAGCTACTCATTTTATCTTCACATTCATTTAAAGCTAAGTATTGTTGATGCAAACAAAATACATTCAGGCTCTCTCACTTAGATTCGTTTATATACAACCATTCTCAGTCATAAGAAATGGTCATTTCAGGAAAAGCAAAGGTCAGTGGGTTCAGTAAGCTCTTTTAAATATGCGACTGTGAACTTGGATAATTAGAATAATATAACAGGTTTGAATGAACTGAATAGCCAATTGATCCTCTGCTACAGCTACCACAACATGTATACTGCTGTTTACAACTGTGATGATGCTTTTGACCAATCAGTAAATAGAGAAATGAGAAGGAACATGTGAGGTAAATGGTAAACAGACTGTACTTATGTAGCGCTTCTCTAGTCTTCAGGCCACTCAAAGCGCTTTTACACTATATGTCATATTTACACCACGTCTACACTGATGGCAGGGTGCCGGTCAATATTAACTAATCCCATTCATACAAAGTCACACACCAAGCGCTATGCCATCAGGAGCAACGTGGGGTTCAGTGTCTTGTCTTAAAATCATTATCCATAGAATTACTGGTGACTTTAAGTGTCATAATGATAAAGCAGAATGACAGATAAAGAACAAACACCTCAGGATTGCCAACATCTATCGGATCAACAAATTATGATGCCAAAAAATGCTTTATGGTAAATTTTAATAAAACGTGTCCAACATGATGCCAATAAAAAAGTCATCTCCTGCAGCTTAACAGTTGATATAAAAACTTTATATAAATCCTCCCTATCTCAGCCTGAACTACAAAGCCACTGATGACATCACTAAATTATGTGTGTACTGGACTCCCAGCTTGGACACTACATTTTAATAGATAATCAAAGCTACTGTACGTACAGTGATGAAATGTGACTGGGAACACTTACACTAATGTGAGTACTGCACCTCGAGCACTTCCATTCAATTCTATTCTTACTTCATTTCAATGGAAAGTACTTAAATAGCCTACTTGTGTTTACACTGCCAATCAATTCCAGTGTGTAATGTTGTGTTACTAAGTTGACTTGTTTTAACAGCTTCTCTTACTTTGCTATTGTTCATTTATACTTGAAGCATTTGATCAGCTTATGAAATGGGAAGCACTGCTGTAGATTAAACCACCGTATGTAAAACCGGCTTCACCAGTAGCAGGCTATGAAGTACCTTACATCAGTTTGAATTAGAAATACAATAAGTTAGGATATTGTACTTAAGACTAAAATTCTGCTCAACCAGTGCTATTTACTTTACTGATATACTTAATATAGGAGCGTTTTGCATGCAGGTCTACAGTCCTCCTAGTAATGAAGTACTCCTGTGTTATGATTTTGTGACTCGCACCAAGTAAACACCGCTTACTTGAAACTAAAGGGTTCAGATAATGAATGTTTTTATCTAGATTTCCCTCACAGAATCAAAGCCTGCACCCTGAAGTATGTGAACACCTCCTCACCAGATGGAGTTCTTGATCCGAAGCTGCAGGGCACTGGCCTCGGCGCCCTGCAGCCCGGGGAGCAGGCCGGGCAGGCTCCTCGCCACCCCGCTGTCCGACTGCTGCTGGGGGTCTTCCTCTGCCATCACAGTGGGCCTCGGGACCGGAATAGACTGGGCTAAACTGGACGGGAGGCGTGGAGGACGGGTGTACTCTCCTTGCAGTGTTAAGCGACATGGACCAGAGGACGTTGTGATGCTAACGGGACATGAGCGCGCCCTGTTGTTGTTGTTGTCGCCGCCCAGTCCTCCTCCGACATCGCTCGCTTCAAGTCCGGACACTTGGTGAATTAAAGAGGCTGTGCAGCAAAACTACGTGTCTCCCATAGACGCAGGGGGTGCATGCATATAAATACGGACGTAACTAGTACACAGACAGCTAAAAACAACTAGCTCGTCCTACGGTGCGCTGAGCCCCTCACGTTATGGGATTTCTGTGCATGTGCATGGTGAGTAGTGGCTGTTGGGCAAACGCATGCGCACTAAGAACCCAAGCATTAAAAACAACATGTAAGCAGAAGCCTAGAATACTAAGCTGAACCTAAACGATTTTGTGTTGCTGCTGATCCGTCAGTCAAACAAAAATAAATGTTTTCTAAGGTTAAAGTTTAGAGATGTTTTCATTATTACTTGTAATGTACTTTTATTACTATATTATTATTATTATTATTATTATTATTACTATTATTATTATTATTATTATTATTATCATTATTATTATTGCTATTATATTATTATTACTGCTATTACTATTATTATTATTATATTATTATTATTATTATTATTATTATTACTACTATTATTACTATTATTATTATTATTATTATTATTATTATTATTATTATTGCTATTGCTATTATTATTATTATCATTATTATTATTGCTATTATTATTATTATTATTAATTATTATTATTATTATATTATTATTATAAATGTCGTTGATGTTGTTCCATTTGTGTATTGAAAATTGGATTACCCTTTGCTTTAATTTACTACAGGGTAATATGTTGATGATTTTTGGTGCATGACATATTTATTTATACAACACTTTTTGGCAGGTTGCACACAAATAGAACAAAAATAATGCGGTGCAGTGGCATGACATGACAAGAATGAGGGGTTAGCCAACAATATCTTAAAATATTAAACAGAAAAAACAAAACATATGTTGCAATATTTAAAAAAAAAACGAAGCAATTGGGTGAGGGGTGCTGAGTGTAAAGGTGTATTGCAGTATGTATCGTCCAGAGGACTGTTTTATTGTTACTTTATATTCATTCAGCTATATTACATTTCAGATGGAAATGTTGTTCTTCTTAACTCCTCAGATTTGTTTTAACAGCCTACCCTTTGTTTTCTACAGCTAAACAAAGGTGAATTCATCAGATTAATGATTTACATATATGCATGATTTTAATTTATTATCGAACCTGTGGGTTATTTTGGCCATGGTTTCTTCCGGTAATCGATGAAAAGTGTAGTGTTGACTTTCTGTTTAAAGTTCGCCTTCACATGTCCTAACTGAGCTACCGTACCTAGTTCGCGTGTTGGATTCAGTTGCTATGCAACCGGAGAGACATTTGTTTCTTGTGTCAGGATGTCTGGGAGAGGTTGTGATAAAAAGGTCTCTAAGCCTCGGCTCGTCGTCTCTCAGGTTTTAAAGTCATTTTTCACATGTATTGTTCAAATGCTTATTTAAAGAACGTTTTATTTGTACTAGCAAACGTATAAATGTGAATCTGTTTGAACTAGTGAAGTAGCTCTTAATCCACACAAGATAGCGTTAATTAGCCTTCAGGCTGGAGGAAACCTATGAGGCATTTTGTAAATGTATGTAATACTTTTTAATCGTAAAAAAGTGATTCAGTGGTTGAAATATACACTGAACATCAGCATGATAAGCCAGTAATTATCAATTCTTTTCACAATGAGTTTCAAGTCAAGTCGCAGTATAATTAAAATGGGGAACGATTATACATTTTTTGTTTGAGTTACTGTACTTTCACAAAAACAAACGTGCCTTAGGTATAATTGGATCTCTTCAAATTAAAAAGAATACAAGTAAACACCTCTTACTTGAAACCAAAACTCCCTGATGGACATAATGCTGACATGTGTTTGCCATTTCGATACTTCAGGGTTTTTTTTTTTTTATCAGCCAATTAAAGCTGAATTTCTGAAATAAGCTAATATTGGCCTACATATTTCATATCTGATGCAATGTGTTTTAACTGCTCTGATTTCTTATCTCTGAAGAAATGTCCACCTTCCAGTGGCAAGGCTGAGATGTCCAAGAGGGCTGAAGTTAGACCCCAGGTTAAATCTGCCTCGGGTTCATCAAAGCAGCACACAGATGACCTCTTTGCTAAGGAAGAACAATACAAGTAAGACTGGATGTTACAAGAGATTTAGGCTTTGCTTCAATTTAAAGTAAAAAGATCATTTATGAAAGTATATTTACAAGACACATATTTTATTTTGTGTTTCCAGTAGCAATTATTCATATATGTAGAAATATACTAAATAGATTGACATGCATTTGCATTGTATGTTATTTTTTTGGAAATAATAAACTTTACAAATCTTGACTTTAATTAAATTTCTATGAATAATGTGTTAATAATTAATTAAATATGACTACAAACGTGGAAGTCCTATAGCACAAAAGCTCTGTTAATGTAATGTATAAAATGTGCTGCTATGCAATGTCCTCTTTCCCCTCTTACCTCTTTCAGGCTCCTCAATGCAGAGCTGGAAGCCAAAACAGCAGATCTCGTCAAACAGGCAGAACAACTTATAGTGAGTTATCAACATGTTTCTAAAGAAATAAAAACTATCTTTTGTTGTATTATCTCATATTTGCTTTAAACAGGTTAACTTTGTCTTGGTATTTTCTTGATTTCAGAGAGAACAGAGTGAAGTTCTGTCGAGACCCCTTTCCACCCTTCTTTTGACTGACAATGAGGATGAAGATAATTCAGGGTAATAAATGATTGTAGACAAATAGTGAGTGTTTCACTGTAAAGCCACAGAGAGAGGTCACTTAATCAACAAGATCTTAAATGTGCTTATTGATTTATGTATGGATATATTCTCCATTCCTCTGCAGGATAATTAAGCTTTGTCAGGAGCCTGGAGTTGAGGTATTGAGTCAGTGTATAAAGTCATGCTCTATGTGTGTAACACAAGCAGTACTTCTTACAATGCACTAGTATACTTTGTCAATGCTGAAGGAAAAATTGTTGCTACTTGTAAAAAAGTTACCTTTTTCTCAGGTGTTAAACAACAAACGGGCCACTTCAACATCCAAAACAATGTGTAGTAGAAAACAAGGAAAAGAGCCTCAACGTAAAACAGTGTAAGTTTGATTTGAGATCATTTTCAAAGAAAAGTATGGTCCTATAGGTCAAAGATTTGGTTTAGTATATTCTGCATCAAACTCTATTTACAAGGAAACTATAAGAGCACACATTGTTTTCTGATTTCAGGACCACAAAGACATCTCAAGTGGAGGATCCTGCAGCTGTAGAAGACTCAGATGATTGTTTTCTAGCAAAGACTATTCAAAGTATGGAGGAGAAGATTAACGACGACACTGTTACCACAGAAAATGTTGTGGATGATGCTGGAGACAATATAGTATCAGGTAAGTTTGACAATAATAATAAAAATAATACACACTTTACATTTGAAGCGAATCTCAAAGTAGTATGGTGGACATGGAACATAAAGCCCACAAATATGAATTCATATTCATTTTATTATAAATGAAAAAAAGTATTTATGTTCATGAATTTTTCACAACAGACATTTGGTGGAAGGTTTTTTTGTAGAGAATTTCGAGTGGATTTTACAGCAATAATAGTTTGTTTGCACTTGTTTGCATGATTAGATATACATATTTTCTCACAGATTATTTTTGTGTTTGGATTCATGTTGGATCTCAAACCTACTAGAACATGATACTTTTTTATCATGATGACACCTTGGCACTCAATCTTAATTGAAGCTTAATCTCTAATTAACTCTTTATGTAAAACACATGATGAACTTGATACGTTTGATTGTATTTTGCATTTATTGTATTTGATTAGAAGTCTAGAACTGGTCACTGCTCTGTTTTGTTAAGGTGTTTCAGATGCTCAAATACGAGTCCTGAAGGCAAAACTGCGGATTATGCAAGAGGAAGTGGATCAACTCTCGTGTGAATATTACAAGAAGGTACCGGTATACTGTAAAATAATGTGCATTGAACTGTAACTGTTGTAGCCTCTAAGCATCAGCAGGGGGGCAGAGCTTCAGCTGAACAGCCAATCACCATGACTGAGAAAAGGCTAGATGCAAATTTGACTCTCATCTGTTAGAGAAAAAAATACCCATGTGTTGAAATAATCATTAAAAAAATCTAAAAAATATTTCCAAAGGCCCCCAAATGTAAAACGCTGGACCTTGCGTTACAGTTTTTTAAACATTGTCTGTAAAAAAAGATATTGTTTGTAGATAAAATGATGTCTCTGTTGATGCAGGATGATGAGAATGCTAAGCTCATCGTAAAAATGAAGGAGCTTGAGGAGGATCGAGCCCGGCTGCAGAAAACAACAAGTATTCAGCAAACACAGATTGAGAAGCACCGAGCTTTAGCAGAGGAGTCTGCTAAGAAATGTGACGGTCTTCAAGTGCAAGTGTCAGCTTTACACAAGGTCTGTGAGCATTTTATACAAGTCCTGCTATTTCTGAAAAACTAATCGTAAAATATGACACCATCCTCCATCACTCCTGAATTTATAAGACATTGTTTCTCCCTGGCTGATTTTTTGCTAAGGAAATAGAAAATCTGAATCGATCCCAGAAGCAAGCAGCAGCTGTTCATGGCACTGTGGAGGTTCGTCTCAACAGAGCTTTGGAGGAGGTGGAGAAGTTAAAGACTCAACTGAACAAGATGAAGCAGGCGGACAAGGTAGGAAAACATCAATGTCATCATCGATACATGCTACTTGTTTGAGTGCTGATATGATTCAAACTACAGATTTTGATGTATAAAAAATACTGTTGCTGACTTGAAAAATAACTTCTAAAGTAGGGTTTATTTAGAGATAATCACAGCCATCTTTTCATATTTAGTTTAAAAAATACTTTTGCAAGATCAGTGACATGTCAGATAAAATGGTTAACATTTAAGCCAGGTCTTCTACAGACATGTGTAAAGCAGGAAAATAGAGCAGAATATAATTTGCCAAACAGCTAACTATGCTTCTTGTCTTTAAATGCACACATTTAATCGTAAGATGTCACTCGTTGACCTTCGTAGAGACTAAAGAACATCATATCTTTATGACATGTTTGACAAAGAAATAATTATGGTTATGCATCCACATATCTACTGATTCAAATGTTGAAAAAAAAAAACATACAAAACACGTAACTTTAAATTTGATTTAAGTACAAACTGTTTTTTCCACTTTTGAAGGGCATAACAACTTAATAAAGAGTTACAGGGTTCATTCAGTAAATCTTTAAACTCATATACATCAGATTGTCTTGGTGCTGAAGTTTTGAATGGAAAAGTGTGTGAAATACATTTGTGTCAATATCTTTGATAGAAGTTCATAAAAGTGTGTACATCCCCGACACAGTGACTTTAACAACAGAGAGCTCAATAATAACATGAAGCAGAATTCACAACTAAGTTATAACATTTTGATTGATTGTAAGTGGTTTCCAAATGAGGCTGTCAGGTCTGATTAAGTTTAACTTATTTCAGCCTTTATTTTTTTACAAAAGGACAAGACAAGCGAGGAACTTCAGAGTAAAGAGAATCTGCTTGCTGAAAACAAAATGCTTAAAAAACAGAAAGCAGAGCTCATTGTGGGCTTCAAGAAACAGCTGAAGCTGATTGACATTCTCAAAAGACAAAAGGTGAGTGTCTCTACCATACCCTGTTTGTAGACACCCTGTACAAATCCTTTTAAACTGAATCTTATCCGACCACCTTTTCTGTCTTCTTTGTGCAGATGCATTTTGAAGCTGCAAAGCTGCTGTCGTTCACAGAAGACGAGTTCATGAAAGCTCTTGACTGGGGGAAGTCATAAACACTGAGAGGCTCTCTTGTATTTTTGGAGAAATAAAAGTCTGATGAGTTGCCAGGTATAAATCAGCAGAGAGTCTTGGTCCTCATTGTTTTCACATTTTGGCAACAGACAATCTCAGATCTTTTCTGGAATTATTTTATTGAAGATCCCACGGAACAACCCAAATAAAAAGATGCCTCCCGATCACTTTGTCGTTCCTACATCCTTAACAAGTGATTTAATAAATACTGAGAAATATAGAGCTTAAAATGTCTACTTCGTTTACAGTAACATTTAATTTGCCACCTTGTGGCAGAGCTTTCAACATAAAGATTTACTCATCGCCTTCTAAGCTGTCTTCAGAAAAGATATCTGGCCGACGGGTTTGGAAGGTTCTTCTGAAGTCTTCATCAAAGTGCGCTAGGTCTTCTTCACGGAGCAGACCCTGGAAATGAATGCATTGATCGTCACATGGATGTTTTATCTTAAGAATGTGTAAAGCTATTCAGGATTCTTACTCTGCCTCATACCTTTGGCAAGTATCCCAGGAGTTTTGTTGCATGACGTTTCAGAAGCCTCTGCCTTTCTTCTTCAACTATCTGTCTGCGCAGCGCCTCCTTCTCCTGCTCAACCGCTCTTTCTTTGGCCTCAAGTTCCTTGAAGAGAGAAGTTAACATTATTATCAAAGCACTTCATACTCAACTAAATGATACATCAGCTGCCCAGTGTTTTATGTACAACCATTTTCTGTGTAAATGTTTCGAGTGTTCTGTACCATGTTGGCCTGAATCTGCTGCCTCCTGTCCTCTATCAGTTTCTCCACCTCGCGTTTGTGCTCAAGTTGTTTCATGCGTCGTTTCTGAGCGTTCATCTGCTCGATGCGGTCGTCCTCGGCAAACTTTGCCATCATCATTTTCCTGAAGGCCTCCTCTTCGGCTTTCTCTGCCCGCCTCCGCATCTCTTTGAAAGCCATTTGCTCCTGGTAGGTCTGCTGCATCATCAGCCTTTGTCTGATTTTCTTCTCCATCTCTTCCTGTGAAACAAACGGGTTAAAAAAAATGACGATAACTCAGGCACACTTAAATAAATAAATCAAAGTCCCAGAGCACAGAGGACTTGGTGTGAGTCTCTTGACTCATGAGCTGCTGATCATTTAGAAGCACTATTGAGAATGTTGAATTTTTATTCCTTATATAAATTATAGGAATTAATTATTCAGGATTGTCGCATGATATGTACTGTATGTAAGAACTCATTAAAATGATGCTCTGCAGGTTGTTTCACTTTAACATACGGATACTAAACTTTGTATGATTACAAAATAGTTTAATAGTGCCACAATGTTAAGACGTCTAATGAATTAAGCCTAGTCATTTATCAAGTAAAATGTATAATTATCTTTCAGTGTCAGGGTAGTAATCAATAATTACTACTTCTTTTCATTATTTGCATCACAGCCAAAATATAAAATCTTCATCCTCATTACTGCAACTGCTTTCATCTTTGCTCTGAATGTTTAAAGAGACAGTAAAGCAACGATACTTACTATTTCTTTCAGCCGATTGGCCTCTTCCTGTTCCTCTAAACAGAGTTCCTCACGCACTCGCTCCATATCTTCACGCTGCTGCCTCTTCTCTTCGATCTTCTCAGTCAACTGCAGAAAATCAGAGAGGAGCTAAGTACCAAATCTCATGGAATGAAGAGAAAAATGTAGGGGCACTTTTAAAAAAAAAAGAAAAAAGTATCTCAACTATTTTTTGCAGATGCTCCTTTGCTTCTTCTCTCTCTCTGATCTTTGCCATTTTGGCCTCCTCCATGTGCCGCTGATGGCTCGCATATTCCCTGATGCGTCTGTTCTCTTCCTCCATCTGTTCTTGCTCCATGCGTCTCCATTCGATCTGCTGTCTCTTGAATTCTTCAATGTGCTGCTGAGTGGCTCGGACCTTCTCTAGTTTCAGCTGCCTCTCCCTTCAGAAAAAACAGCATTAGTTCTCAATCTTACATCCATCATTGCGGTATTAAAATGTGAATGAGAAAGTGAAGTCCAAAACAAAATCAACACTGTACTTTTCAAAACAGAGCTTGAGTAAAAGTACTTCATAGAGTGGAGATTATTAATGACTTACATCTGATCCTCCTCATAAATCTTCCGGAAGATCTCGTCCACCATGAGCTTCTCTTTAAGGAACTGCTCATATGCTTCTTGTCTCTTGTGCTCCCTCTCTATCAGCTGGTGATCCAGCTCTCTATGATACTGAACTACCTCCTCTTGTTGTTTCTGCTCCAGCTTCTTCCGCTCAGCAGCTGTTTGCTCATGTTCCTGCTTCATCCACCGAGCATAGTCTGCCTCCTCACGCTAACAGAGAAAGGATATGCACAGTAGAGCTTGAAATTTAAATTTAGAACTGTTCTGTACAAACAATTTCACCTTGAAATTAAATTCCTGTCACGTTTAACACTCATCATTTTATTTCACTCCTAGACAAAATAGTCTGTATATGCAAATACATTCATTTACATTATCCCCGACACATAAAAATACACATTGTCTATATAGAATATAAATGTACCCTTAAGACATTTTTAAGAACAGAATCCATCTTGTAGTAAAGATGGATACGATTATTTTGTTGGTAAGTGACAAAAATCACAGAGGATAGCGCTCACCATTGTCTCAAACCTCATGGCCTGCTGTTCAGCAATCTGCGCAGCTCTTTCCTTATTCATATATGCAGATTTCAGCTTTGACTCCAACTCTCGAAGCTCCATGCTGAAAGTGTTTGAATAGACTTTTAAAAACCAACAGAGGTAATGAAGAGACCAGAGCAGAGTAAGACAGCATTGAGTACCTGTTCTTTTTTATATGCTCCCTCATTTTCTCTTCTCGTTGGCTCTCAAAATTGATGCGGGCGATCTCTTTGGCCATTCTCTCCTCTTGTTCCAGTTGCTTTTCTCTGTTTATTCTCTCCTCCTCTGCCTGCAACAAAAAAAAACATTATTATCTACTATTGAATATAGTTCAGTCAATGGTGATGTTTTTCTTAATACACCAAAATGTTGTGAAAAAGAATGCTTTTTCAACGTTTGATACATTCAGGATTTTGCTAAACAAAAACTAAATCTTTACAGGTCTGTTTTTGTTACCTCCACAATGGGATGCTGCTTTAAAAAATAAAAATTATTGTGTGACTTCAACTAACTTGATAAACCAATTCATCCAGCCATGTTGGGTTTTTTTTTCTAATCAGGTATGAAGGGCTAGTCCAGTCTGGATATAATTATACAGGTGTCACTATATAGTAGAATATAAAATGTCGCCAGTAAAATTTGGATCTTTCTAGTACATTAGCACATTTAAATTAAATACAATATAGCAAATGAAATGCTGGCTCAAAGCAAGCCAGAGCTGTACCCACTTTTAAATAGTATCTTCAAACTCTATTTTAAACTGGTTATAGCATTTGTATTGTTGTACATGTATTTTAATGTATCCTCATATGATGTTATGGGGTTTTATGTAACTGAATGTTATACATTTTAATCTGTTTGTTTACACAAAGGCCCAACTGGGGACACAAGTTGGAAATTAGCAATAGCTATATACTCTTTATGCAGCACATCAGTTTCATGCTTTGTATTGAAATTATGTTAAATTGCATTGTCCCTATTAAATAAATAAATTCAATTCAATAATACAAATAAGTCGAATTGTATTTCCTCTTTGCATAACTTCTTTAATTTGTTCATCCCACTAGACGATTCTGAGAAACCTGAAACCACTACTGTAGTGGCTATTTGTCCAAAACAACAAAAAAAATCTAAATAAACTAATATCAAAAATAATCAAATGACCACTGATACACCATGGACGATGTAATGTACGCAGGCAAAAGAAATCCAATGTCCATGCAGGAGCTGCGGTATTTTGCTGGTTTATTTGATGAAAACAAACAAAAGAACAAAGAAAATCGTGGCTCCCGCTGCCTCTCTTCACCTGGTAAAAAAAACAATAGGCCCACCCAGGTGCATGCTGGTCCTCTACCTGCCGCTTACTTGAATAATCTCCGGTGTCCACAGTATTACCCAAATACCTAACAAAATACTAATACAAAACTAAATTTACTAAACAAAAAACTAGCAAAGAAGAAAACGTTACCCAAAATCTTTTCTAAATAAATAAAACGTGTAGAATAATTAAATAAACAACACCACCAAAATATTAGTAAACTAATTCTAACCCCAATTAAATAGCTCCAACAACTACTAAGAAGTGCCTTGTAAGTTATGTAGTGCTTACAATAGTGTTTCTTTTTTACATTGTTCAATTATATTTATTTCTATTTCTATGTGTGTATCTTGGATTGAGCTTCTTCTAAACTCAGTGGTCCAGTTCAGTATAAAGGAGTGTACTGAAGCTCATTCTTAATGGTTCTCCTAAAACAGTGATAAGTGAGAGTACCTTGAGTAGGTCGCTCTCCAGCTGCCTCTTCTTCAGCCCCTCTTGAGCCTGTCTCTGGTATCTCCTCCTCTCAAAGCCCTCCTCGTCCTTCAGACCGGCCTGAAGCTGCCTCTCTCTGTCCACACGCCGGGCCTCCTCCACCCTGTGCTGCTGCTGACTCTGGCGCTGACACATTAACCTCTGCTGCTGGCTGTACATCCATTGACGACTCTGTCCCAGAAGAGAAGAAAGACAGTGTGGTCACTAAGCTGCTCTGTATGTAGCAGCAAGCAAGCTAATGTTAGTCTAACTTTGGTCCCAAGCATTTACCATTTTGTTGGAGCCTGTCGATGATTACGGAGTCTTCACGAAATTACTTTTCACTTTAATCAACTTTAGACTTTGCAATAACAAACTTGATAATAGTTTTATTAAAAAGGTAGTGAACGAATTAGCCGTAGTTTACTCGCGGTGCCTTTAGTTGCCCCGGTTGTTTGGCATTTCGTTGTCGGGGGAACGCCGCGTCTCCACATTTTAAACCAATGAAAATGAGTGTTGACAATGACGTCAGGTCCGGGAAAATCAAAATACTATCAGTCTTCATTATTTTAATTGTGATTTCTGTTTCACTGTAATATTTACAGTTCATGGTTGTTCTTCGTGTCGAATAGTTTTGACACTAATCAAAAAATGTTCATGATCATACATGATTTTTGTAAATTTGAAGGATTCTGCTTTCAGTATGGACACTATTGTACTGAGTGTGGATGTTTAACAATGTCATGTTTCTTAACTCTGAAGTGAGAAAAATTCTGACAGGTGCAGGCATGTTAATGTGAAAGGTAAATGGTAGAAATGTAAGTCCTTAAATAACTAAAACTCACAAGTTGCAAGCTGTTTCAACAATGTTTTTTGTATGTAACGTGTATATTGTTCATTTCGATTTGTTGTATCATTGTAGATTTCCGTATTCTTAATGTGTTTTATGGTTGTTGAGTTTATTTTTTGTAGGCCTACTGTTGATAGTTTCTGATATTAATAAATATCATAAAGGCCAAACTTTGTAAGGGCTCTGAAAATCAACTTTGGCTATAATACATGTGGTGAGTGAAATCGGAGTGCATATAAAGTGTCCCTAAACAATTCAAATCATTTAGACAGTCTATTCCAGTAAAGAATATTATTTAAGCCTGTGGTAAATACACAGTTTCCTGCTCTGTCTACAGTATGTTGTAAAAGTAAAATCAAGCAAAAAAAACTAACAAAATACACAGAGCCATGTATGCGAACAGACTAATGTTATGGAACAGATAGATTTAAGGGTGAATTTAACATATTGTCCACATCTAAAGGCTGTCTGGAGTTCATATTTGGTCCAAAGGAACCTGTTTTAGATAGCAATATTCAGTCAAATAAAATCCAAAGCTCCATACATCTTGTAGTAAAGGTTTATTTACATACCAATCAGGAAAACACTTATACAAAGCAAGTAGTGTAGAGATCTCTGAGGGGAATGTGTCCATGTGGGAAGGTAATAAAACAGACTCAGAGTAGTTTCATTTACAGTGACATCATATACATTTATGCATTTACAGTCTAGTACTACTGATGCTGTATATACAAGGGAAATCCCTCTTTAAAAACATACTAAATGAACAATGACCTTTTATATTTACATTATATAGAGTAAACTGAGCAATAGTGAATTTGCCTCTTTGAACCCTGTATACAAGGGAAAGAGTGACTTTATCAACAAGCAGAAGGGATATAAAAACTGGCTGACACATACTGTATCATCAGTTGGAGTGTGACAGTGTGTACTTCTTCCACAGCAAACATGTACACATTTCTTCAACACAGTAAAGATTAAGACAATTATATCAGTTTGTCTAACGGTTTACATATACCATTATAACTGACTCCTCAAATAAAGGTCAATAACAACCTCGTATTCCTTCCTTTTCTTTTTATCCAATACCAGCGACTTTTTAGAGGAACAATTTGAGACTCATAATTCTAAGACATGTACTACTGTATTTTGTCAATAGTTTAAAGCATTTTGTGATTGTTCAGATAAATGTTTATCTGAGATTTTCAAAACCAGCTGGTAACTATTTAGTTAACATGAACCACATCACTTACTGAAATTCTATCACAAACCTGGATTTTTTTTTTAACAGTGCATGCACTTCAATAACGCATTGTTTTTCTTTTCTTTTTTTCTTTTTAATCTCAAATTCAATGTTATTGTGCAGCCTTCAGATGTCTTCCAAAAAAAAACATGCCTTAAAATGGAAGAAAACCTCCAATTCATTAAATATAGTTGTTGATGACTTAAAAAGCAAACCAAATCTCTCAACATGAACTGAAAGAAAAAACTTTGTTGAAACAGGACTCAAACTTGTTGGGATTATCAAAATTAAAGGCTAAATTAGATTGCTGCACTTTATGGACAGAGTGTTAAATTGAAATTGCAACAACAAATGACTGGACACTAAGTGAGCATGCACAATGTGTGTCACTGAGAAAAGTGTTGCAGCCAAGTCATAGAAAAAATAAATCACCTTAACTTTGAATAGAGATCAATGGGGAGTTTAATAATGTCCTTTTTTAAGAAATATAAAATATGATACCACCATTTAACAAATAAGCTACAATCATTACAAGTACATGATTGACATTACACAAGTCAAATAAAAAACAACAGAGTTCTCTGGAACCTATCAATGTATAGAAAAGAAAACGAAAGATTCACATCCTTTAACAGATTTATCTTTACATCTAAAGGAGTTATGAAAGTCTGACAGAAAAGTAAAAGAAATCTTGGATAAAATACTTTTTTTCTTTAAAATTGGCTTGACAAAAACATGACTGTTGAGAGGATAAGTGGCAGCCGAAGTATCAGTGATGTAAACTAAAGGTTTGATATTTGTAAAATAAAAATGTTGTGAATTGATGAGGAAGCAGTTGTTCTCAATAACTAAAGTCTTCTTCTATTATTTATATTGTTTGGTCGATATCCAGCTTCATTCTGATTTAGTTTGTTGTTCCCCTGTCTCGTGCTCAGAGACAGGCAGCTGTTCTCTGACCTCGATACTCTCTGAATTATCCACAGACTTCTCACAGAGAGCTAGAACCTCCTCTGATGCACTGGAAGATGGTACATCAGGCAGCGATGGCTGCTCCAATTGTCCTTCAGAGGAACCTTCAATCACAATCATTTCTGTGGAACCCTTCTCCGGATCGCCTGCTGGTAACATCGGCTCTGATTCTGGTTTGTCAGACTCTGTAGCGGTAACACTTCCAGACTTAACACTTTCCACTAGCTTCAGGTCTGTTTCCTTTGGTTTCTGAGACGATGTCGTTGACATGAGGTACAAGACTTTCATTGGCTGTCCCAAGATGCAATTCCTGCACAAACGGAAGAGGACATTGTAGTTAGCTTGACATCAGCTGTTAGCCATCTGTTTTCATAGATTAAATAGTCGCGCACACAGGGCTACAAACCACATTTTACAAACAATTGGGCATTTTACGATCTATACTATACTGAAATGGTCTTAACGGCCTTTAAACTACACAGTCAAGAAGCTTGAAGTGTTCAAACTGCTAAATCAAACTTCAGAATCCACAGAAAGGAGAAACAGGATATATAATTTAAAGAGGTGTGTGCTTTTAATTAAAATAACATGCAATTTGATGCAAGTTCCACTTCCAAGATTTTTTTTCTTTGTCATCTACAGAAGTGACGTGTTTAATATGTATATATAATATATATAGACGATAGAGGGTGGACGATGTCAAGTGGGTAGTAGTTTCTACTCACACTCGTCCTTTGGTTTTCATATCTGCTGGGTTAAAACAAAAGACAACCTTCTCAACATACTTGTCACACTACAGCCATGAATAAGACAGTATTTGATAGATAATCAACACACCTTTCTCCTGAATGACTTTGCAGATGTGATTTGGTCTGTCAGTTAAGTGTCTGGTCATTAGATCACCTCCTGATCCATCAGTGAGGAGGTCACAGTTGAGACAGACCAGCGTCAATCTGAGGGGGAAACAAGGAAACACCTCTGTCATGTTGAACTCCAAAAACAAGGTATGTGCAAAATATAATTAATGACGCATACTTACTTTAGTGCAGATGTTGTCTTCTTGTTATCCATTTTGAAAAATCTGTTTTTTGTTATGGTGCTATGAAATCTAACAAAAGAAAGAAAAAAAAGATAGGCACAAGATATGTCAAATAAACACACTGCGCTTAAGATTGAGTGACATAAGTACCAATTCAATTCACATTATTTACTCACCTTATCATATGATTCCCAATGGCAATTTTGCAACTCGTTGTATATTTGCACGCTCCACAATTTGAAACCATCGGGTAATGACAAAAAAAGTCATCGACTTGTGAGTTGCATTCGATGCATGTGTAACATCTTCCGTTTTCTCTGGTGGTTTGAAAAAGAAGGCAAACACAAAGAGTTAAATCCTTCAGTTATGATAATGACATGACCAATAAAACAACTAGAATCTTTGTGTTACGGAGGATTTTTTAGGAAATTGCATTTTGTTGTTATACATTTCTCTTATCTGTAACAATATCAGTTTGTTCTTTGTAGCAGGTGCTTAAACCCAAAATATGCTCGCTCTAGTCCTTTAGGGCCTGCCGGTTCCTTATTATACCATATGATCTTTGGACTCTTCTAGTTAAGAGTTGTATTATGTGATTAATGCAGCATGGTGGTTTGATTACTGAGACCAATTAACCAAAAACCACACTCATTAGTTTTTAAAGAAAAGAAATCCCACTCTATCAGCCAAACAACACATTATTTTTAGCCAGCCTAATGAACATTGTCTGGACAATTAATTGAAAAAACAATTAGCTTCTTTATAATAATGTCTATACATTTGCTCCACTCCTGTCATGAATACCCAGGTGGAGGGGGGTTTGGATCCTGAATGATTCATGGGACCCAAAGCTGAAAAATGCAGAGGATTGCGGTGTCTGCCCATTTCAGCCATAACATTATTTTTTTTTACCTACATTAAGAGCGTTTATCTGTCTTTAAAATAATATTTTAGAGATTAAGTATTGCACTTTGTTGGAATAATGATGGGTATTTCTAAATCATTTTTCATATTGAGGTATCAGAATCAGATAATATTTTTTAAATCCCAAGCATTCTTCTTCCTGGTCAGAACAAGGAGTCTACTACAGTTACACTGCTAACAGCTAAACCCTGTTGAGCCAGTCCATGCACAGTATTTAACTGTTTTCTCTTTTAGAATTATTTTAGCCGTTAAGTCTTTTATTCATTTATTACTACGTTGCATTGTGCATATAGGAATTATTATATATTATTTATTTCATTGAATGTTATGTGTTACTTTCTGTGTTTTTATGGTTGTTGTCAGTTTTGTTTGTAGGAAGCTGCACAGAGCTTTGTGTTTTCTCTGCACTATTGCCCAAGGTAAATTTCCCCCTGAGGACAATAAAGTACATCTGATTCTAATCTACATGCAGCCAAGATGCAACAAGATCACCAACAGTTGGGTCAAAGGTTTAGGTGCACCATGATGGCGGTGTCTAATGGAGCCTTGAGATGGCAGCCTTCAGCCCTTTTTTTTTTTAACTACCTCAGATTTTTTTAACACTAAAAGCTTTATATATTCATCTACAACTGATGCTGTCTTGGGTAAAATCACTTGAGGCATTTTTTCTGATTTCTTGCTGCTCTCTTTGAAACCTGAAACGAATCTGCAAATAAGGTAAACAAACTATGTTACAGTGAATCAGTGGGAATCCTTGTTGAGATATAAAATTCAACCCCTTGTTAGTGTGAAACTGCTACAAAAGTTAGTGTGTCATCTCTTTGTGTTGTATAAAAAAGCTCAGTTCACAACCTTGCTAGATTCCTGAGCATCAGGTTGTGCTTGGAAGTGCGGCTATTTTGCTTCTTGCTCTGAGTCGTCTTTGCTTTTCCTGCTGCAGAGGCGGTTGACCTTGAGCTGGAGACGCTGACAGGAGGTTTGGTTTTCTGATTCACACTTTGTGTTTGTGAACCGACAAGGCCAGGTCGATCTGGGGAGGTTGGCAGTGAGGTCGACTTTCCTGTGAGTGAGGCTCGAATGGTCACCTGTGAGAAGAACAGAATGTGTAGAAGCTGAATTAAATGTGTATAAATATGAGAATAGCTGGAATCAAAGGCTAACATAAAAGCTGTATTGATGTTGTAAGACTGAGTCAGACCTTTGTTCCTGGAGGGAGGCCCTCCAAAGCTTTAGGTTTCCTGAAGGTCTTGTGGCCTAAAGTCCTGTGTTCTAATTTCTCCTTGAGGGAGAGGAAATTCAGCCTGCATTTGCCACAGCGATGGATCCCTTTTTTCTGAAATGGAAAAATAAATTAACAAAAAATAGCCTCATTCATGTAACCACGAGTTAATTGCTGAGATTTGTCATACAGTTTGCCTGAAAGAATATAAAAAGAATGTGAGATATTCAATTCATTTATATTAATAGAACAGTTGTGTTTGTTTTAAACTCTACAATTTGAATGCTTCTTAGGGCAGGTGAGGAGAAGCCTTTTTTTAGATTACAAAATACGCTGTTACCATCTTTGCTTTGAATTTGCCATAACTGTTAAGAGACATATTTATCGGTTTGTTTAATAACCACAACTAACAGATCATATTATAGAGTGGCTTTATGACTGATATGAAAAGACTCAGAAGGCAATGTACCTGATGTTTCATGTAGTGCTGCATGTACACATGACCACTTTTCAGAACTTTGAGACAGAACGGACAGAGCAGGTCTTTGGCGTTTTCATGGACGCTTCGGAAATGTGTCTCCACATCGGAGAAGAAAGAGGACCTGTAATTGCAGACCTGTGGAAACAGTAAGAGACAATCTAAGTACTGGTGAGAGACTTTTCTGGAAACATTTGACAAAGCTATGACTCAGTACGTGACGGACCTGGCACATGTAGGGCATTTCCCCGGGCTTGTGGTTGTCCTTCATGTGTTCCAGGAGAACCTGCTCTGATTCAAACGCCAGCTCACAAATCTTGCAATTGGCTTAAAAAAAAAGAAAAGAAAATTAGAAAGACCACTCAGTGTTAGATCACAGTAACGTCTCGGATTAGGCTGTGAAGTGAGTGATGTCATACTTGAGGATTCAATGGAACTGTGTGCGGCCTCGATGTGGCACTGCAGCTGGAATGGAGTCCCGTATTTCCGGTAGCAATGCTGGCAGGTTGTGTGGCTTTCCCAGCTCTCACTGTTCTGCTTCTCCAGCTCCAGGTGGTGCTTCATATGGTTCATGAACCTGCAAGAGAGGGTAGACACATAAACACAAACAAACACCAACACAGACAAAACAGAAATATCACTTTCAGGACATCGATATCAAACTGAAATCACACACAGACATTATAAGGATTATCAGGAATATTTAGGGCTTGGATCCCTTCCTCACGTTAAGAGATATGTTGCAAAGGTATTACAAAAAGTGTAAACAACGGGATCACGTCAAATAAGGCTAAAAAATGTACTCTATTTATCAAATTTTGAACAATATCCATTAAGAATTCAGTGTACAGATTGTCAATGTGGACAAAAATCACCAGAGGTTATGTTCTAAAATGTTTGATTCGTCCAACAATATAGCAACACAACACTTTAATGGACTGAGTTTGAGTGTACAGGAGACCAAGAATATATTAATAATATTCACGCTTAACTGTTGATTTCTGCCATTATTGCCAGACAAAACTTCTTTTTTTCAGATTTTTTAATTATCAAACATTTGCATCTATTTTCAATGAATTAACTGATCGATAAGCTTTTCATTTTTTTGCAGTTCTACTGACTAGTCCATCCTTTGTTTTTAGACTGGGGGTCTGATTAAACAATCAGTTTACAAAGTGTGCCATTAGACTCCATGACACATGGACGACAGCTTTTCTTTTTCATAAAATGAAAATGAGCATCTATGGTAATCTTTCCCAAGTATTCCAAAAGCTTTTATAAACTAAAAGTAAACAAAATATTTTTATCAGCATTCATCAAGGTAACTGATATTTCAAGAAAATAATGAAAACAACAAAACACAACAACATCAAACCCCAAAGTGTAGCTGTGGGTTCAGCGTCTACATATACGTGTTTTTTTACGTGCATGCCTCCTCACAGAGCGTACATGCTCTGGACACCGTGTGTCACGGAGCTCTGAGGCTCATCACTCCTTCTCTCATTCATTACGCTTTAGTGTATGCAGGTGTTGGATGGACTTTTTTTTGACCGTACGCAGACTTAACCACTGACGTACTCTAATCTACAAGTCTATTTTAGAGTCTGCTTCCTTCATACCTTCAGACCGACATCAGTCAGACTAACACAGGGACTTAAAATCTTCCACCCCAGGACCTTTTCTTACCATCTGGTTTAAAGGTCAGAACTAAACTCGGGAAAAAGGATTTAAAGTTTGCTGCTCCTTTTTACTTGGAACGAGTTACAAAAAGAGCTGAAACTTGACGAGCTCTCATTGGATGATTTTAAGACGATGTTAAAGGACTTGGGGCCAGATTTACTAAAGGTTTGCGTGTCTTAAAACGTGTGCAAACTTGATACCACCAGCAAAAAAAAGTGCTATCTGATCTACTAACGGCGCTCAGTGAGGATTGCGTCTTTCAAATGAGCAAAACAACACGCATTGACCATTTAGTACGTTTGCAATACGGGGCGTTTCTGCCCTAAAGTGCAAAATACTGGGAGGAGAAAATGCAAAGAAGTTAAGTTAGTACACGCATTGTGATTTACCAAACCTGACAAAAATTGCGGTGATTATGGCGGTATCTGTATTTAACACCTTTGAAAGGAACGTGCTAATCAAGGAGACCAGCGTTACGCACAACAGGCTGCTGTTATTGAAGTTAGGAGGAGACATAGGCACAACAAAAGGAGGCATAAAGATCGTGTTTTTCCCCACAAGTGTTTACATGTTTCCAATGACAGACAAATAAGGCATGCATTTATTTTTTAATTTGATTCAATATTCTAATCGTTAAGTAAGAGAAACACCATGATTAAACTACAGGCTATTGTTGCCATATATCCAAACAAAACTGAACATTCACAGCCTCTGCATTCTATAGAATTTCAACATTGACATTTATTTCTTCCTATTTCCCTCTTTTGCCAACATAAAATTTTGAACTGGGGATTTCCTTTTTCTCGGGTCGCGCGTCTCTCCCCCAGCTCGCCCCCTCCGGTGCGCTCCTCTCCATAATGCGCTCGTCACCTCCCTCTAAAGATCGCTGCTGCTACTCTGTAGGACGCTTGGATTGGGGTACCTCACCACTGTTTGTAACCCCGTCTTCGATACCTCTTTCCAGGGCATTTATATCCGATCAGACACAGCGCTGGCCAGCTGTCTGGTGCGCAACAACGGCCCGAGTGTAGAGCGCCCGTACCACAGAGGAGACAGCTCGCACCTCCTGCGCAATGTATGACAATTCATTCTTAAGATGAAGGGAAGAAAAGAGAGGCCCTGTTTAATGCCGAGGTTTTCTTATAACCAAAATTTTCTTTATAATATTCAGATTTATCTGCCATAACTCAAAAGTATTGTGCGTTTATTTGCCTCTTCCACTGATACCTATTTTGCGCTTGAAGTCATCCTGCTTTCTGTCCAAACTCTCCGTGATGTAAACCAGTAGAACACGCAAAAACCTAACTTAAATACTACGGCCTCCACAAGGTTTGCACCTGGTGTCATTCACGCAAATTTTCTTAGAAGATCACCCGCAAATCGCCCACCAACCAAACGTGCAAACTTTTGGAGTGAACACGCAATTTAGTACTCTTTAATTGGGAGCTTAGTAAATCTGGCCCTTGGAGGCGGACACATCTGGCTGTGGATGCTCTCCCTGACTGGTTTGTGGATGATCTTGATAAAAAAAAAAATCTGTTTCTATTTGTTAGTCGTGTCTTTTAAAGTCTAATAATGTGTTTTTTGGGATATGTATGTTTGGCTGCTCGTTGTTTGTGTGAAACTCTAGCACTCTGTTTGTGCTGCTGCCTGTCTTGGCCAGAGGAAACTATTGAGTGAAAGAGATTTTTAATCTTAACAAGTTTTCTTGCTTGGTTCAATAAAGATTAAATACATTTTTTAAATAAACAAGATATTAAGCAGTAATTCAAGGAACTCTTCCGTATAAAAATAAAAAGGGGCACTAAAACAAACAAAGGTAAAGCTGTGGGTAAAAAAATCATATCTATGGCCTCTGTGTAGGTGCAGTGGATGGGGTCATGGTCCCGAGGGTTTAAGGATAAATGAAGTGCTCTCTTTGCACTTACTTCCTAAGCATCTATAATGTCATTATAATATCGACAATTACAAAAAGATTTTGGTTTAGTCTAATGATGTAGTGCCCTGCAGCTCTAACAAGCGACCCCACAGCTTCCTGCTATTGCTGCCCCGATGAAGGATGGGCCATTTTTCAGCGTGCTGGTTTTGCTGCCTCAGCTCCCCTAATAGAAATCTTCACATGGATGAACCATGACCTCCACTGTGAGAGCGCAGTTGCAGTACAAATGTGTTTCCCCATTAAAAGCAGCTTACTGAAGCTTTTTTTGCAAAGTCCTGAAGCAGAGTTATTTAATCAAAGGAACAGTTCTTACGCCAAATAAACTGGCCCTCATATTTCATCTGCAGACCCATGAGGAAAAGCATCTGATACTGTCATCCATCTGAGAAGAAAACTGCAATGAGGACAGCCATGTTGCTTTATTGTTACTAGACAGACATCTTTTCAACAAGCTCTTCAAGTCCCAGTCTACATTCTGAGGGCAGATTATTTGAGACTCTCTTGGATTATTTACTTTATTTACTAAACAGACTATATGTCGAGTGTATGTGTGTGCAATGTAAGTGTAAGCCACGCACACAATTTATTCATTCATTTTTTTTAGTAATTGCAGATCTTTTCTGTTAAAAACAATAAAAAGGGTAAATAAAGTCATACTCACTACCTGTGTATTGCAAGACGTCCTCTTTTGGTGGAAAACAAATTTCCCAATTATATTCACAGTGTACGTAAATTAAATTGTATTGAGTTTCCTTTAAAGGTTTTTTATTGCATCTATCGTCACCATAGATTAGGAAAGGGTATCTGTCACCTGATATTAATTTATTATTTCAACTTCATACAGTAGCTGAATACAAAGCTATTCTGTCCTACATGCCTTACATTCAGTATTTCATATTACCCCCACATATTTCAAATGTTATGTGAATAGAAACAATTAGCACACATAATTATCATGTGTCACTGATTTAGCTCAGTTTGTAGAGCAGGTGACTTAAGTACAGAGGCTGCTGTCCTCAATGCACTAAACGCTGGTGCGACTCCTGTCCTCCCCCCAGTTTGACTCCATCAGAGTTTGAGTCAAACCGTTTATTTCCGTTTAATCTGCTGTAGGCTAGGACTGCAACTCACATTTTCCTTATAACTGTTCTTTATTAACATGTGTTAATAAAAAAACAGTCCTATATCCAAGTCCTGTTTTTTTTATCTAACAAACAATCTAGCATCCAAATATATTCCATTTACAAATGTATAAAACAAAGAAAACAGCAAATCCTCACATTGGAGAAGCTGGATTTAATAACTTTAACCAGCAGACAGGCACTGGGATTTGAGATGGAATGTAGTTAACACCAAAGGTGAAAGGGAAGCAGAGCTTAAGTGCCAACAATCAGAGTTGCACAGTCCACTTGTTGTATTTTAGATGTTCTAATGATATATGTTATGTTGCATGGAAAATAAAAATCAATAAAGATGAAAAAAATATATGAGAGCCAGACAGCACATAGTCCTACCTGATATTGTTCTTAAGAACTTTCAAGCAGCTCTGGCACTTGAACGTGTTGTTGGACCTAGTTGTCGTATCCTTCTTGTTCCTGTCCCCCTCGAAGCGGCCGTAATAGAAATCTGAGACGAGCATGATGCGCTTGTTGGAACTATTGTCTGTAGCTGTGCTGTGAACATTTGCACAGCTGCCCTGAAAGAACTGAGAGTTTGATATGAATTAATGTTTGAGTTGTTTATCTGAAGATGAGTCACAATGAATGTTACTAAAAATGTATCAGTGCCCAAATGACTGTAAGTGGTATATTTTCTGTACACACACATCTTCCACATTTTTAAGTTCATGCCCCTCACTGACATGATTTCCACTCACCGTCATGTGATTTCTCAGTGCCTCAAGTGTGAGAAAATCCTCTTCACACTTGGGGCACTTTTTCTTATCGACCCCATTTTCCACTGGGACCGCAGCGTTTGTCGGCCCTAAAGAAAGCAGGTTCGATGTGATGATTAAATATGGAGCGCATAAGCAGACACGCATAAATACATTTGACCTATCTCCATTTTCCTATAATAACGAGTATATTTCGGTTGTTTTCTCAAAATCTTGCTTTAATGTTTTTCATAATCTTGGGATATGCTGATAATGGGTACCGGTAAACCTCAGCTGACTTCTCTGGAAATGAAGTTGTTATCACAGGAAAACAAGCCATGTTATCCCAATATAACGAGATAAGCAAGTCAAGATTTTGAGGGAAAAAACGTTATTAACTTGTAAAGGGGAAAATGGAGGAACAAAATGTGTGGATGCCTTTCTGCTTACGGCTCCTGAAGTTAACAGCACACAAAGAAAAGATGTGTTTACTTATATCGGAGTAGCAATATAGACACAAACATACCAAAATCGACCTTGAGTCTTTTTGCTGCGTTGTCTGTTTGTTGCGGTGGCATTCCTCGCTTAACTAATTTTTGATCTGTTAAAAGAAAACAAATGTCAAGTGTAGTTTCAGCCAGCTGAGTGACTCTAAAGCATGGTAAAGAACATTTACATATTGCGTGACATTACCTCTGTTATTGTTATTGGTCTGTACAGGTACAGCGAAGGTCTGGGGATGTTGTGAGTTGGAGAGGTTGAGTTGCAGTGGAGTAGCTTGCGTTGAGTACACAGTGGGGCTTCGGACGTTAGCCAGCGTCACTATGTTGTTGCTGATTTGTTGCACCTGAGGTCTGTGGACAGCAGCAGGTATTACTGTCCCTGGAGCGACCTGCTGAAAGAGCTGCTGCTGACCAGCTGAAAGATAGTAAAAAAAAATTTAAAAAAAAGAGGCTTGGCTTGGCCCTGGAAAAAGCTTTTCTTTTACACTAACTCAAAGAGGAAGATTTCCTCCTCTGAGGCATGTTATACACAGCTTTACCTGAAACGAATGTAAATGAAGTCCCAGGAGGATACTGGTTCCCAAGAGAGGCGAGAAAATCTCTGTTTGCCAAATTTGGAGATGCGACAATAAAGCCCTGAAGACAAGAAAAGAATCCACTCAAACCAGGTATTTATTCCTAAATAATGCACGTTATAAAAAAAAGAAAAGAAACACCAATCGTACCTGGTTGTTGACAATAACAGGCTGGGGAGTCACTGTCGTCACATTTGGTGCTGCTGTGTTCACTGCATTTCCAGCCACATTCAAAGGCAGCATTATGGGTGAGGAGCCTACAGCCGGCTGAGGAGCAGGACGCTTTGTTTCGGGTTTCACAGCATTGCTTCTCTGAGGAGGTGGAGGGTTAGGCTTACCCTCCTTTTGGTTATTAGCTGTGAGAAGATATGAAAGGGGGGGAAATCAAGCTACCTTTAACAAAGACAATCTGCAATATGCTACCAGACAAGACATCATTAAAATAAAACCTGCACAATTTATCTCTTCAATTAATACTACTTTAAGACATTTTTAAGCATGTGCTAAAACAGAGTGATTGTGTATGACCATGGAAGAAGCTGTAAGTCAGCTGTAAGAGTAACATCGGGGTGAATACTGGGATTCAGGTAGACAAATCTGAAAGGACACTAAAGTAGGTTCAAATAAAAGTCATTTAATAAGAAATATTAAAGAGCAAAGAAGGAGTCATACGAGTCATGTCTTTCTTTGATTGTGCAGGGATTTTGTAGCTTTAACATCATTTTAAAAAAAGGTGATTATTGAATAAAGATAAAAATGTGCAAGGACATACAAAGCACTCCAACAAAGATGGGTTCATCATCGTCGTCATCATCATCCTCTATCAATTGGACATCAGGGACTTGTTTCTGCCAAGGCTCCAGCTCCTCCTCCACACACTCCATAAACAGTTCAGACATTATTAACCTGTGAAAGAAAAAAAAATCCTTAAGCATTCTTACATAATAGTCCTACATATTAGATGTTTTTTTTTAGTGACAAGACAATAAAGCTGGAATGCTGACTAATTTTCAGCAATGTAATTAGTAAAACTTGGGCTTCCCCTTCCCCCGACAGAATATAATGCCCGATGTAAAAAAAGGAAGAGACCTAAACATTGTAAATCTGGATTGACAGTTTTGCTGAAAACATGAGCCACTGATCCCATACCGTCTTTTAAATGCACACAGAAACCAGGTTACGGGGAAATCACTTGTGTGAGAATGTATTTATGCACCGACATTGATCAAGTGACTATCGATATCGGCTACCTTTACCGCAGATATGTACCGATAGTACAAGACTCATTCACAAGTCAGAGTTGTATTACTCTGGCAGTTCTCTTCCACCAGCAGAGTGTGATATATGAACTACAACCAGCATGATCCCTCTCCAGCGTGTCAAGCGCTAATGCACGTACATGTACAGTTACTTTCCAGTTGAGTGACCATCTTGTCTTCATTATGTATCTTTTCCACAAGTGTTTGATAACTGCATTTGAGGGATCAAACAATAAATATGTATCACTATATTTATATCTATCTACAGATTGGAATCTGATATTTTTCTTTCCTAATATCGATATTGGTATTGGACCAGAAAATCCAATATCTGTCGGGCCCTGATGCAAACAGCTGAATCTTTCACACAGACTTCATCCTGTTTGCTCTGCCAGCCCCATAGCATTTTTTGACAGAAAGTCAGAGGAAGTTGATGTGAGAACGCAGCAGAATAAAATCAGGAGAATTCATCTCAAGCCGGCTGGGCGGAGTGGTGACGTTTATTCAATGCAATCGGTGCAACAGATCACACGTTGTGATGTCTGTGCACATAATAAAACGGCTCTTTCTGTTCGCCAGTTTGATCTTCTCTGTTCTTTTGTTGTTAGACTTCATTGTCCCCATGGGGAAATTCCTTTTCACAGCGTTTTTCACAGTGTTTAGAACAAACAATGTCTGACAACAATCAAAAGTTCCCCTTCTGGCCCGTTCAGCGAGGCATTAAGTTCAGGCCAGCTGTAACAGCAGAGATCAGGCTCTTGTTAATCATAATTAACGTTGATGTCAAGGCATCGATGTAAAAGAGGATAAAAGGCCGAGATGAGTCAGCTGTTAGCAAGCAAGATGACATCCAGTCTTTCCCGCAGCGCTTTAAGCTAGGTTGCCACCTTAACAACACATGCCCTCTGCCTAAAGTACTGTTGTAGAATTTTTCTTATTAAATTTCCTACATCTTTGTATGGGATCCAACAGCAGCTCAAGCAGCTTCCAATAATCTTACTACGGCCACAGTAGTTTCTCCCACATAGAATTACATACAGGTACTTTACGGGTGAAACTTTCAGAAATACAACAGATGAACCAACGTGCTCCACCTGTTCACTCAAAAAGAGCAGGTCAGGACATTTTCAATAGAGAAAACTTTAAGTATGTAATGTTTCCCTCACTTGTTGCTTGTTCGCCTCTCCTGCATTCAAGAACCTATGTAATTTACCACTTGTTCAAATTTAAATATTGATGACAGCCACTACAAAAAGGGTTAATGAAGGTACTACGCTTAGTTGTTGCAAATGGGACTTCTTAAACTCCAGAGACATTTCCCCATAACATTTTATACAAATGATTATAAAGGTACAGAAATGCTTATGACAGTGTTTCTAACTACATCAGAAATAAAAAGGAGCCATTATTAGAATAAAGTTTTCAACTACCTCCCAAATTGTGGAGCTTTGGATATATCATCAAACATCTTCCCACATAAAGGAACAAGTTTAATCCATTAGTTTTATCATGGGGAATGAGCTGCAGTATTTATTTAATGCTGTTAGTTCATGTTTCAAAGTGAATGCTTTTAGTTTCTTGACAATTAAATACAAGTAACTGGAAATATTTGAGGACGTAATCCAATTCAAATGTATTTATGAAGCACATATAAATACAATAACAGTTGACCAAGGTGCTCATAAGTAAGGATACACATAACAATACTGTTTTCAGTTTTGTTTTGTTTCTGTTTAAATTACTGATTTAACAGGGACAATAACAGGGACAGGGACACTAACAGGGACACTAACAGGGACAGGGACACTAACAGGGACACTAACAGGGACAGGGACAGGGACACTAACAGGGACAGTAACAGGGACAGTGACAGGGACAGTAACAGGGACAGTAACAGGGACAGTAACAGGGACAGGGACAGGGACAGTAACAGGGACAGTAACAGGGACAGGGACAGGGACACTAACAGGGACAGTGACAGGGACACTAACAGGGACACTAACAGGGACAATAACAGGGACACTAACAGGGACTAACAGGGACAGTAACAGGGACAGTAACAGGGACAATAACAGGGACAGTAACAGGGACACTAACAGGGACAGGGACACTAACAGGGACAGTAACAGGGACAATAACAGGGACAGTAACAGGGACACTAACAGGGACAGTAACAGGGACAGTAACAGGGACACTAACAGGGACAGTAACAGGGACACTAACAGGGACAGGGACACTAACAGGGACAGTAACAGGGACAGTGACAGGGACAGTGACAGGGACACTAACAGGGACAGTAACAGGGACAGTAACAGGGACAGTAACAGGGACAGGGACACTAACAGGGACAGTGACAGGGACACTAACAGGGACAGTAACAGGGACAGTAACAGGGACACTAACAGGGACACTAACAGGGACACTAACAGGGACAGTAACAGGGACAGTAACAGGGACAATAACAGGGACAGTAACAGGGACACTAACAGGGACAGGGACACTAACAGGGACAGTAACAGGGACAATAACAGGGACAGTAACAGGGACACTAACAGGGACAGGGACAGTAACAGGGACACTAACAGGGACACTAACAGGGACAGTAACAGGGACAATAACAGGGACAGTGACAATAACAGGGACACTAACAGGGACAATAACAGGGACACCAACAGGGACACTAACAGGGACACTAACAGGGACAGTGACACTAACAGGGACACTAACAGGGACAGTGACAATAACAGGGACACTAACAGGGACACTAACAGGGACACTAACAGGGACAGTAACAGGGACAGTAACAGGGACAGTAACAGGGACACTAACAGGGACAGTAACAGGGACAGTGACAATAACAGTAACAGGGACACTAACAGGGACAGTAACAGGGACAGTAACAGGGACACTAACAGGGACAGTAACAGGGACAGTAACAGGGACAGTAACAGGGACACTAACAGGGACAGTAACAGGGACACTAACAGGGACAGTAACAGGGACAGTAACAGTGACACTAACAGGGACAGTAACAGGGACACTAACAGGGACACTGACAGGGACACTAACAGGGACACTAACAGGGACACTAACAGGGACAGTAACAGGGACACTAACAGGGACAGTAACAGGGACACTAACAGGGACAGTAACAGGGACACTAACAGGGACAGTGACAGGGACACTGACAGGGACACTGACAGGGACACTGACAGGGACACTAACAGGGACACTGACAGGGACACTAACAGGGACACTAACAGGGACAATAACAGGGACACTAACAGTGACAGTAACAGGGACAGTAACAGGGACAGTAACAGGGACACTAACAGGGACACTGACAGGGACACTAACAGTGACAGTAACAGGGACAGTAACAGGGACACTAACAGGGACACTGACAGGGACACTGACAGGGACACTAACAGTGACAGTAACAGGGACAGTAACAGGGACACTAACAGTGACAGTAACAGGGACAGTAACAGGGACAGTAACAGGGACACTAACAGGGACAGTAACAGTGACAGTAACAGGGACAGTAAAAGGGACACTAACAGGGACACTAACAGGGACAGTAACAGGGACACTAACAGGGACACTAACAGGGACAGTAAAAGGGACACTAACAGGGACACTAACAGGGACAATGGGCAGTCATGACTATTAGAGTTAACAAGATAGTTCCCCTTTAGTTTGAAGCTGGCTTACTTTTTCACCCTACAAATAAACCATGTATGTCTTTAAGATTAAAATGTATGTTTTTTTTTAAAGATTAATTGTATTTGTTTATTTCTCAAGGACACATGCAAAGAACATGTCTTCATGTGTAAAATACAAAGTAGTCGTCATGCATACAGGATTCCAGTCGTGGTTAATTTACAACCCATGTCCCTGACTAGTCTTTAAGGATTAAAACAGAATAAGACTCCCAAGAAACTCAGAAATATTGAGTTACAAGCATCTATGTTATTACCTTCTCGATCCTATTCAACACAGTTAGCTAATGCTAACGAGCTAACGATTTAGATTTCCAATTCTCCTGCGTTTACTGTTGTTGTCGTCTGCTGTCTTAAACTATGAACAAAATCATATCCACGAGTCATACCTGAATGTTATGTCACACATGCACTGTTCGGCACATTTGAGTATTCATTGTTAACAGCAGCATAACACTGGCTAGGCTACGTTAGCATCTTCTCAGACACAGGGAGGTGAGTGATGGGACAAAGACTCATGAGTAAGGTGCGCCTCGTCTCAGCCTACCTCTCTCAAACACAGCCTTCCAGATCCAGGGCACAATTATGTTAGGTAGATACTTCAGCAGGGACCTTAACCCGGGGACGACAAGAGTTCAGCTAGCCCAGTGTTGCTCACAGGAGGGGAGGAGGGGGGGAAACAGTATCGCGGTGGGGCAGACATTGGGACTGGCTGCACCAATCACACCGCCCGACGAAAACGTGCCTTCCTGCCATTTTTTTTTTACTTCCTGGTATCTCCCGCGACTTTGCCTGTGTGGCCCATATGGCCTGTGGATACTGCAAAAAAAATCAAAAAAATTCAAGCAAGCCAATCGTTGTTGGTGGCAGTGAAGTTGTCCAGTACTGTCATGTGAAATACATGGAGTAGATTATGTACTTTTGGCTTAACATGATTTAGTCTCATCTGGTTTCTATAACAACACAGAAGACTGTCCAGTTTCTCTAGCAGAGTCACAGCATTTCAGTTCAGTGGTGGCCATCTTGATTGTTTATTTTCACCCAAGTATTTTATTTAATCAGGAAACCCTTGAGATTAAAAAAATATGTACATGTGCATCCAATACACTTATTTTTTGCAGTTCCCTTATGAAGTCGGCCACATGATACGAGACAGCATAACATAGTCTGACTTATAACCGGTCACCTGGAATCTGATTCACCTGCTGATAGTCAAAGCAGCACTTGTTTTACGTTATCTTGCACGTTGGGCCAACATGCTATTTGATTTGATAAATTCCCCAAAACTTAACTAGCACTAATAGACACTAAGAAAACATTACGCACACAATCAATATAAGTTAGTCAGTGACAGACAATATCTGTAGGCTTACCTTTAGAGGGCCTATAAAAATGGATGTCATCTCATTTGTGAGTATTTTTTCAGTTTTGGTCCTTTATGGTTACACTATTGGTTGTGGGTGATGGTTTAAGAAGAGGTAAATGAGTGATCAGGACCTGGAGCTGTTAAACCTACCATAATAAAACCGCCATGGCTCAGTTAGGCCCACACAAAAAAACCCAGTCCTAATCACTTCATAAGAAGACCTCAAAAAGAATTTCTGATTCAACACAACTTGTGCCCTCAAAATGTGTACAGACTTTAGTCAAACTACAACACATTCCCTGCAATAGAATAGCACCGCAATGAAACACCTATAAAAGATTTTTTCTTTAGAACTTGTTTGTTTACTTATTTGTACCTTTATGGAAAATAACTGACTGGTAAGAACTTGTACTAGGCTAATTATAATAACTTGTTAAGTTATCAATAATAGGCTACCTATTATTTATATGATAAATGAGCTAGTTCATGCAGGTTTGGTAAAAAATGTAGAGGAAAAGGATAAGTCTGTGAGCTGCAGTTTGTTAGACTATATTGCATTTACAATCTATACTAAAGATGTTGCCGCTATGCATTCTGGGAAACCTAGTTGTGAGGGATTTTTATGGGTCAAAATAAAGTCAAGAACATGCAGAAATGATGATGAATGTGACATGATGAAATAAATAAGTCTCATCAGCTAAACTTCCAGAGATCTAACCTGGAGGGCCCTGGCTCAGGCTGATATTCAGGAGCTGCAGGGGAGTTGGGTGGTGTCTCTGACTGAAACAAAGTACTGGCTCTGTTTCTGGCTCTGACTTGACTTTTTGCCTCTCTCCATTTCTTTCTTTTTGCCCTCTTCTCGTGCTCACTGAGCTCATTGACATCCTTCTTCTTTCCAGTCTCTCTGTCTTTTTTCCATTTGTCCCTCTCTTTCTCAAGGTACTTTCTTCTTCTGTCCGGGTCAGCGTCACGACGTTCCCGATATCTCCTTGCTATCTCAGCTCCTTTTGAGCTCATTCCTTGAAAAAGACAATTCAAAATGTTCCCTTACACACTTTAATTGGCGGACCAGGTAAACTAGGCTTGCCTTATCAAACTAGGCTTGCTGATACCGATATCACCAAAAAAGTCCACATTGTCCACTCTTACTATGTATACATGACTGTTATAAAATGTGTGTAATAGCTGTTGTAATATGTGTGACATTATCAGCATGTGGCATAAACCATGTGCATGTCCTTCCTGTCACCAACCATGTCCACCCTGTCATAGGCTTGCTGACAGGGTGGATAATGACAGGTTGGACATTTTTAACTAATGTTAGCATTTAATGAGCATGGTGGACCTTCAGTTAGCAACATGATTCAGTTAGCAAGGTGACTGTGTACTATTTAACAAATATATTTCGAATTTCTGAAAGGTTTTTATATTCGTTGATATTTCAGTATGACAGAGTGGACATGTTTAGCTTGACAACATCCAACTACACACGCAATATGATGAAAATTACTGAATACAAGAGTAAATACTTACTCTGCAACTAGCCACTTTTTCAGCCTCCACTGAAGAAAGACAAAATGGTGATAGTAATGTCACTTAAAACATCAGAGGGTTTCTTAAAGGGGCAGTACCCCCATAATGACAGGGTGGACAGCAATTTCAGGGACACATTCAAAATGTTCAATATGATTATGAAAATAGACTATACATGATCAAAATGACTCATTTTTATCAAATTACTTGTTGTGGGCAATAAAACCATGTAAACATTTTTTGATTTAGTATTATTTACACACTTATTACACACACTGTGGTTAGCAGAGCAGTGTGTGGGACATGCAATCCAATGAAAAAAAAAATGGTATAAAAATGAAGGAAATACATTTCAAGAGACTTATCATTGAACTGATATGTGTGTAAATGTTTGGCCATTTATAATAAGACCTCAGAGTTTCATTATTCTATTTCATTATAAAGCAAACATGAGTGCACAAACTGTGGTCACATGATGAATACTGAATCAGCTTGATGACAGCTGACCTCCGTGCAACAGTCAGCTTTGAACTTCTTGACAAATTTCATGCTCTCCGGTCAGAGTTAAACCATGCTTAAAATTAAAATGCATCAAATTGTCTTTTTGTATTTGATTAAAAAACGAGTTTTCCTGCTTTTAATGACAGCAACATTTATAGCCTGTTCAAACAAGTAACAAGTAATTGAGTTTGAGAATTTCCTCTACAAGAGCATCTTGGCTAAATAAATAAAGTAATGATTACATTATCATTAGATTAAATAAACAGACTAAGCTAATTAAACAACAGACTCAGCTCGTTATTATGCATTTTACTGACATTTGATCTTCTCAACCCATATGCGAGACCAAGATAAGATAAGATAAAACTTTATTGATCCCTCATTAGGGGACATTTTGCTTGAATTACTTGTTTAATTGTTTTTTTGAGTCAAGTTTTTTTGCACACTTTTTGATCATGGGGAAAGTATTTCCCATTTTTATAACCAATTTATTTACATGCATGTCCAAGGAAAGTCTATTGCCTATGATAACTCCCAAAACTTTGACATTTTCTACTTTCAGTTGTTGTTGCCATCCATTCAATGTATGCAACCGGAAAGTTGAAGAAGGCTACAGGTAAAGGAATTCTTAGTAAAATGCTTTTTATTCTAACTCATTAAATAAACTTAACTGTGTAACATAGACTGCTTCATTCTAGAGAAATAGTTAATGTGTTGAAAGTAGGACATTGTTGAAACAGTTTAACCTGCATCCATCCTGACTAATTCCCATTGAAAGAGCAGATTAAGAAAATGTATACGGCCAGTAATAACAGTGTTTATAACAGTTTTCTGAAACTCTGAAGGAGCTTGATCAAGGGGAAAGTTTGAAGGATTATACTAATTTGTATGAATAACTTACAAATAAGCATTTGGTCATGTTGCTGCTTTTGAATTGTATTGTGAGAGGTCTCCCACTCAACTGAAGATAATTGTTGTTTTTACCTCGGTAACAACCACTGAACAGGGACTGAATTTGATAAAACTTTAGACATTGCCCACCTATAGGATTAAAAAAACATCAAGCAGTTGCCTACCTTGCTTGTTGCCAAGCAGCACCTCTGCGTACATGGGGTGCAACCTAACCACTAGGCCATCTGCGCCCCTTTGCAGCCTTTAGAGAGGTCCAAAACGTTCCTTATGAGTATGTTTTTCTACACATATATCCCATGTACATTTTTTGTTTTTTAAATGCTATGACATAGCTATGAAAAACTATTCATGGTAAATTCTTAATAGGCTTTTTGTTCATTTAAAAAAAATGTAATGACCATGACATAATGAGAAATGAAAAATTAAGTTACTGTCAAGCAAAAATGTTCATCTTAGGTTTTTTTATGGTGAAGGATATCTGGTGAAGTTTGTGAGATCCGAGTTTGTCCAACAGGTGGCAGTCTGGAATTATTAATACAAGGAAGTGGCGTCGACCCTTGAACCATGTGTCAGAACCTATATGGGATAACCTATGTTAGAAGACAAATTATTCTTTCATGCATGATTATTGGGTTATGACATTGAAATTCATCATTTGTGTTGTCAAAGAGAGTACAGCATTAAATTACATTGGGTTGCAGTAAATGGAAATCCCACCTGGATCTCCTCTAAGCTCCACGCTGTTTAAACTGTGTAAATCTGCATTTAGCTTGGACTATCTAATCCCTCATAATAATCCTGTATGAGTGAGATAAAAATGTAAAATCCAAAAATAGAAACACTGTATTTGATTTTAAGAATGGGGGATATATTTATAAGATTATTCTCAACAAAACACCAGACCCACAGGATCTTCTAAAATAAATTCATGGGTGCTGGTTCTACCCAGCTCTTGATACTCTCTGTGGAAGTCAGTACATGATATGTTTTCAGTTGAATGCCTGAACAGTGAACAATGTCTTCGTGCTTCAGGGACAGAGTTTCCTCTAGCATCTCCAGGTGTACACACCTCACATCTGGATTACATGGGAGGGGCAACTACCAGTGATGCAGCAGGAGCCCCCCTGTTTTTCAGACTGCTTACACATGGTTTTTGGTCTGGGGTTTATTCTTCACTTCTATTTATTAACATACAGAATTAGACTTAAATTATATTAATGCATGTTCAGTTATTTGACCTGCACCAGCAGACATATCTAAATTAAAAAAAAAGACCTATATGGGTTGGATTAAGGTCAATATCAAAGCAGACCAGCTTTTTTTTAAAGCTTAAAATAACTATAGGGGGAAAATAACATAGTTTTGTGTTGTGTTGAGGCAACTACATGTTGGTCTTCTCCCAGCAGAAAACATATTTGTGTGGGTAAAGGGTGAAACACAATTGCCAAAACTCATGCACCACCAATGTGCTCAGAACGCAGTTTCAGGTGTACTGCTTTTTCAGTTAATATCAGTTTCAGGTAAGGCATAGCTCTCCTTTCCATTTATGCAAGAAGAGAGCAAAACACTCTGAACACAACCACTTAACTTTTTTATGACTTCCTGGCCTGGGATATAAACGACTCCAACTCTTCCCCTAAAACAAAAAAGTGTTCATGTCATCAAAACCTTAAGAAAAAGATATTTGAGAATTAATCTATCAACTCACAACACATTTACTTTGATAACTATCAACTCACAACACATTTACTTTGATAACTATCAACTCACAACACATTTACTATGATAAACGTCTGTTGGATGTTAGTGAAGGCTGTAAGCACTACCAGTTATTTTTAAACAGATACAAATTGTTAAAAAAATAACAGATTCACTCATGTAAACTAATGCGTATTCTGCTTTGAAATGCTGCTTTTCCTAATACACTGCTACCATATCTGTGGAAACAAAACAATTAGGCTACACAAAGATTCGCCCGAGATGGAGTAGAGGAAAAGTGAAATATTTCTATAAACGGTGATATTTCTCGAAGAAGAAGAATTATCCTCTTATTTGTAGTGACTAACCATTTGATGCGGACTTTACTGCAGTCCTCTTGTCTGGTTTCTCTCCCGCGCGGAAGGAAAAGTAGTTCCCTTATAGTGCAGCTGGGGCTCCGTTTTTTTTGCTTTACAATAATCGAAAACGAATTGACCGGGGGGTGGGGGGGGGGGGGTCATTGTACATATTGAATATTGATACATACTAGTGATGAGCCGTCAAAGCTAACCAGGAGACATCGTTAGTGGCCCTGAACACACCTGTAGGCTACACCAAGATGTCACAGACAGCATTGTGTTGAACCGTCTTAACTCTCTTAACTTCTCTTTACAGAGCAGATAAGCGTGCTGACGACTGAAACCAAGATGTAGGCATTATTACTGCATTAGTTTGTTTTCAAATTCCAGACCAATTTCCGCCAACAAACAACGGCACCTCTTGCATAAGTGCCCTTAACCCTGAGTGACTTGAGTTGGACAAAAGCATTTACAGTTTTTGTTATAATTGAATCTTTTCAATAGCCTACACAGGACGTTGTTAATAGAAATGTTTACATCAGAAAGAAAACAGGAGTTCAGGCATTACTTTAGAATAAATTAAAAATTAAAATGAAATATGAACATTATAAAATGGATAATAATGTACTTAGGACAATGAAAGGGAGTTTTTACTTGAAAATGAAAACCCAGGGTTCTTAAATCACTGGAGCTTTCAAAAACCTTTTGCTTTTCAACACTAAAAGTTGTCATCAAAATGCTACCTGCAATAAGCCTGAAAACACATAGCATATGAAAAATACATTCTATCCATATAAGGGTAGGTGCTTTGCATGCACAAAACTAGACAATATAAGTTAGCTGATGAACTAATGATCATTTACAGACAGATAGCTGCAGATTGTGAAGAGAACAAGGAAAAGAGAGATAGGTAGAAAATGAGAAGTAAACAGTGCAGACTCTGGGCTACTGATTAAATTGTGTCTATAATTGTAGGAAAAACTTTGTAATAGGTTTTCGAACACTAATGTGTGTCTAGCCTGTCTACAAACCCTCAAATTATGAGAAAAGTCCATCCTCTCTGTTTTTTTACCTGCTCCTATTTTCAGAAAATGTGTGCTCAACAGGCATTTTGGAGATTTTCCCTTTGTGACATCACAAAGGGCAGTAACCCCTCCCCCAGATGGGTGACACACCTACAGCTAGGTGTTTGTTTTGCCCTCTGAGTGTGCCTTTGCAACGTAAACAGTAGGGAATGGAGCAAGAAAGCACAAGCCACCCAAGCCTTCCAAATAGTTTTTTAAAGCTACAGACACAGAAACAGCCTGTTCTGAGAAGGGCTGAAATAGAGAGGTTTATATGCATGATAAAATACAGGATCAGAGTGGATTAGAAAAGAAACTTCCCAGACATGTTTTGGGGAGCTCTAAAACTTGTTTCAACTGGTTGAAAAAGTGTATAATATGTGACCCACAGAGATATGTACTGACAGAGATGAATTAGAGGCAATCAAAGAAGGTGAACAGTGAAACATGCACTACATAATATCTGAATCTGTGTACTTTGAATAATAACAATGACAATACTTTTTTTACAGTAAGCAAATGGTTACAGAATTAGATTGCATAAAGTAGCATAATAATAGAGCTTTTATTAAAAAATAATTCCTAAAGGAGAATCCCCCATCCACTGGGGCGGCACCCTGATGGCCCAACGATGTCCTCCTATCTTTGCACATTACAGTAAGCTCAAATCAAATCGTCAGATCTCTATTGAATTCCTGTTTTGCATTTTACCGTGTAAAATATGAAAAAAGTACTTTGTTGCAGAAAAAATGCTAAAATTAGTGAGTAGGCCTATAATATCTAAACTTTTCCCCAAGGTGATGATGAGATGCTGGGGTACTAAACTAACACTTGGTATTACTGTTAGTTTAAGGCAACGACTAGGCCTACAAGACAAAGTAATTTACCTTATGATAGGTCTGTGTTATTCACTTTACTTATTGGTTTTTGCTAATTTTACAATCAATCAAATCCAATTGACCTACAGTGAACTGCAGCTTCTGAGGTGCAGAGTAGCCTATACGGTTTGCCTGGTTGGTAAGCAAGCTGTGCTTTGCATCCCTCTTCTGCATGCATATACTGACATTTGAATTAGAACTATGAGGAATAATGCCTCTGTGACTAAAGGTAAAGCTTCTTTTTTTTTTAGAAGAAAGAAAACAGATCAGGCTTGGCTGACACAGGCTATAACTTAAAATAAAATACACTGCATCATGGATTAAGATTTCGCTTCACTGCAGTTATTTGGAAACCATTTAATAGGCCTTTGGTGGAGATAAAGCAGAGATAAACATGTCATGCATCAACACAGTGTGTGCTAACTCCCACTGTGGGGGACCATCATGTCACTGTGCTCGGCGGAGGGATACAATAACCAATGTCATCGTGGTGCTGAGGCTTTTGCGAAGCAAAAATGTCTGCCTAAGGGAAACTCGTAACTGATATATAGAGGATATTTTCTCTGGATTTCCATTTTTAACCCACAGTCCGCTATTTTGAGGCACACACCAAGAAAGCGAGCCTTCACCAGATCACCCTAGTCGGGATTTTAATCGGAAAAAGGTAAAATATGAGTGGGAGTTTTCCAGAAGCTGTCGGTCCTGAGAAAGAAGTTGGGAGTTGAGAAAGACCATCATTGGTTTTTGTGTTCTGGAGCCACATCATGGATTGAGATGTGCTTGTGCATTATTTCTTCGGCAGCTTTACTTACCTTGAAAAAGTACGTCATTTATGTCTAACTTGTTAGTACGGCAAGTTCTTATTGCAACTAATGTCTGAACATTTGGTCAGCCCGCTGGAGCTGGTTGCAGCTCTCATTTACGATCCAGATCAGGAACTGCGGCTAGCCTTAGCCAGCTAGCCCAGTAACGTTACCTCCGCTAACCCTCGTTTTGCTTGAAAATAGTGCCACACATACCACTGACATTGACTGAGCTAGTAACACACCCGTTAAGTGAGTAACATGAAGTGGTAAGAGGGAGTGTTTTTTTTGTTTTTTTACAGAGAAACATCGTTGCTGTGTGCGATAAAGCGATGCTGCAGGTCCTGTCATCCCCTCACAGCGCTGCATTAAAACCTCGTTTTCATCATCGCCGTGTAGGACACAACTAAACCTGTTCACAAAACCTGTTTAGGTGTTTGTCAATCACAAAGTGTGCAAACTGTCAGTGCATTTATGTGATCTGATGCCACTGCAAACTTTATTTCAAAGTGCCTCTGTTGTGCATGCATTATAACAAAATACCTGACAGTCATTTCCTGCCACTCGCTGAATAAATGAATACAGCAGAGAGAGAGATGTGACCTGATGAAGCTGAGTGAATACAGCACAGAGACCTGATGAAGCTGAATGAATACAGCACAGAGACCTGATGAAGCTGAGTGAATACAGCACAGAGACCTGATGAAGCTGAGTGAATACAGCACAGAGACCTGATGAAGCGCTCTGTTTCTGCAGGTTTCTAGCTCGTCAGGATGAATCCTCAGCAGCGGATTGCCGCTCTCGGAACAGACAAGGAATTAAGTGACCTGCTGGACTTCAGTGCGGTAGGAATATATTTGTCTCTCTTTCTGCAGGGCTTGTGTTTGTTTGGTCCAATTACAAAAAAAAAAAAAAAAAAAACATTTTTAAATGATAAGTTAATGTAAGTGTTGACCAGGCAATGTTATCACCAGTGGCAGATTAAAAAGTCTCGTCACCTTCTAACAACATAGATGTGTGTTTTTTCTTTTTTTATATATTTATGAATGGATGTATACAATCCTGAAATTGAGAGACAGATGATTGATGTTGATTAATGTGACCTCCCAAACTATGCTTGATTTTTCAGCTGTTACATCTTTTCTCTGATATACTGTATATACTTTCTTTTGTAATATTTTTATTGTCCAAAGCAAGTTTTGTACAGGAACATGGATTGAAATGTGACAGGGTAATAAAGAGGCATGATGACTATTGAGGAAAGATATTTTAACAGCAAAGACAAAGAAAAAAATCCCCCCCAAAAAAACAAAGACAACTAGACTAACAAAAGACAATAGAGAAAGTAAATCAGAACTTTGTGTACTGTAGGTCAAATGACAGAGTGATCAACAGAAGGCATTTGAGTGATAAATAAATAAATAATAGTACGTAATAATTATGGATGTAATTGATGGAATTATTGAAGGAGTATGTCATGAGTAGGAGTTCATTCAATATGTTCTTCAGTGAAAAAAAGGATATATATCTAGATATAGATGAATTGGCGAAATGAAATAAATCATGTAAAGAAGGGGCACAAAAAAAAGGGGGGGTGGGGTGGGGACCCTCTTACTGTATGCCCTGGGGAATCAGGGCACAGGGAAAGGTACATGACAGCAACACTGGGAGGGGGTTATCGATTGTTATCAAATTATATGGTTTGTTTTTTTGTTTGTTTTTTTAACAATTTCTTGTTGTTGTATTGTCCATACTTTTCCCTTCAGATGTTCTCTCCGCCTGTAAACGGAGGGAAGAACCGGCCAACCACTCTTGGAAGCAGTCAGTTCAGTGCACCAGGTAGGACGTGATTTTAACAAACCCCCTCCCTGATTTGTGACCCATATTCAGAAACCTTCTGTAGCTTCAGAGTGATTCAGGAACATTCTCTCAGAGCAACTTTGGGCGAGGAAGGGGCAGACTCTTTTATCTTAGTGAGGAGGTGTGGTTGACCCTGTTGCCTATGACACATTCTTTCAAATAGTCTGTGATTGGTTAATCGAATTGGTTAATCGAAGATGCTTTCTCCATCTTTCCATCTTTTTCTCTGCTTAAGCAACGCTTTAGCTTCTTCAAGAGTCCTACTCGCTATTCCTAAGAGTTTTTCAACTTAGGAGCTCTCTTGTAGGGACAAGATACTTTTTATACTTTTACCATGATATGGTCTTAAATTTAGGGCGAATTTCTTCGAAAACGTCATGATTGTAAGACTTTCTTAGAAATGTATCACTAGGAGAAATGTACTAGGAAGCTCTGGTCTCAGTTTTCAGTCTTGCATGGAGCTCTTACCTTGTCTGTTCTGTCCACATCTGGTGTTGAAACCTAAGCTCTCCACCTGGACTTCAAGAGGAGGAATGCTGCAGTACTCATGTAAAACAATGATTTAGGCCATGGTCTTGTTTAAGTGTGGTTTTTCATCCAATCATGTTGTAGTACAGTGAATATTAATCAGTTACTGTCAGATTGATACATAAACCAGGTTTGTGTTGGCAGAATTTTTGGGGATTTGTTGTCATCTGTCAGTACAGAAACAATACAATACTGCTTTCTAGCAGGGTTTGCTTTGAGAAGTGTGTTCAGTGTTTCCCCCACCATTATATTGGGGGGGGGGGGGGGGGGGGCCCCCCAATATAAAAATATATATATATATTTTTTTAAGATTTGTTTTTGGGCTTTTTGTGCCTTTATTGTAGAGATAGGATAGTGGATATAGTCGGAAATCAGGGAAAGAAGTCATTTAAGGATACCTTTCCGATAGAGAAGGACATCTGTCATTAAAAGTAACGCATGAACACCAAGATTCCTTCAAGTGTTTGTGTCGCTGTGTCGGCATGTCGGCTTGTCCCCACCTCCCCAATGCTGTAAACCTAGGGGAAACACTGGTGTTGATGTCAAATTTTTGAATCAGATAAATTACTAGGTCTGAAGGAGATTTTAATTGTAGTTCATTTGACTGTAAGACATCCCCTCAAAAAGGTATTCTTTTGTGTTTTTGTCTTGGACCTATGAGCAGCTTAATAATTGAGTCAATCAACAATCAGTTGATCATTTGTGAATGATTAAATCAATTACCAAATACTTTGATAATTGAAACATGTCTTTGAGTAATGCTTTAAGGCACAAAATATCATAACACTAATTCTTCATTTTCTTCACCACCTTATATATCAGTGACCTTCTTTTCACCTAATAACTTATAATATAATTTTTTGGTTTATGAGCATTCCTTTGAACACCTTTTTTGCTGAACAGGTTTGTTTGCATTTTGGTTGTATTACCAGGAGTTCAGAGTCCCTGCTCCTGGATTGCTTCCTAGTTATAAATGCCACAGGACATTAATCTGAAGCCCGTCTTTTGTCTAATGTTCTACTAGAGAAAGTCAACAATCAAGCTTTCTGTTTTCTGAAAGCTAGTTTTGTGAGCATCCACAAAGCTTTGTTGTAGTCAGTTATCTGTGAGATGAAAGACACAAAAAGACAAAGAAAGAAGAACAGAGCTGTCACTCATGAACTGAGTTTTACAATACCTAATCATCCAACAGGATGTTGTCTGTGTGTGTGTGTGTGTGTGTGCGTGTGTGTGTGTGCTCTCTTATGTAAAACAAATGTCATCTAGTGAAAAGATGTGAGGTATACGGTAAACTCAAACATTCCTGGTGAGGTTCCCTCAAGCACTTTAATACTATAAACCAATGAAAAGCAGGCTTCAGACTCCCATTCTTTAAATATATTTTTGGATCATGTTTGTGATTAACCCTGAGGCAACATGCTAGCTACACTTCTTCATACACTGCAGTTCAGAAGAGCAAAGTGCAGAATCATTGAGATAATTATTTAACCAAATACTCTCTGAGGCTGTGTCAAAATTCCCACATGCACTCCTGAATTTCTAGAAAATGTCAGACAGCTTGCCCCTGAAATCTTCCTGAGTTGCTTGTTCACACATGTCCCTTACGGCAGGAGAGTTTCCCTGTCGGATGGGGAGGGCGGGGGGGTCTCAGTCAGTTGGCAAGACATGATGCATAAAGGACACGCCAACGCAGACGAGCGACAGAGTCCAGTGCTCTGACAGTTTTTACCTTTATATCAATAAAACATGTAACTGGAAGTTTTCACAGTTTAAACAAAATAGCGCTGAGCAGACAAAATAATAAAGCAGTTTTATCACCTGCGCACATTTTGCAATGGTTGCAGTATATAGACATCATCACCCCTCCCGCTTTGCTCGCGATGAATTTGATCTGCTGCCCTTTCACATCGCACTCATCCTGACTTCCGTTTGTGTCACAGAAGCAGCTCACTCTGACATTTTGGGAAATATTCAGGAATTTCATTCATATATGAATAGCGTTAAAGATAGGATGTACTGCATCAGAACAGAATAAATAAAGTGGTCACTCATTGCATGTTTCTAATTGTGGATCATTGACTTAACACTTAGTTGCTGTGTCGTTTCATAAACATACTGATGATATATAATGATTTATTTTAATCTTAGTGACCGTGTATTGAAAAGACTCAAAGTCTCAAACATCTCTGGCATTAATTGTCATGTTGACAAACAATGTGTTTTATGATTGAACGTTGTGTGAACATCATGTAGAGAGTCACCTTTAGGCTGGGCCCTGCACTCTGTGACTTTTAAAACGGACCAGCATCAGCACAGCCTGCTTTTTGTTCCAAAACAGTTCAAGCTAAGGTTCATTGTAATGTGTCGTTTGGTCGTCTGCTGATCAGCGTTGTGCTTTTGAAAATATGTCACTTTGTCTGAATGGGGTCTGTTGTTTTGTACCACTTGCAAATTGTTTTCAATGGAATTAAATATAACTAGATAAAAAGATACTGGGTTGACAATGTAAATATTTGGTATATGGAATATTTAAATTTTCTTAACAGGTTTTGTTAAATTTGACTATTATCTACTGTGTTCCTTGATTGAAATAAAAAGTGTTTGTTGATGGCTGTTTAGGGATTTGATATTCAGATCTTTTTCTCTACTATAATAGTTTGTATAGAACACGTTATATTTTATATTGCGTGTTGTAGAGCTCAAGAGTTTGGTTACCGAAGTAAAAATCCCATTCATTTTCAATCATAGATTAGAGTGTCACAGCGATGTCTCAGATTGGTAGAGCTCGCTGTTACCATGGAAATATTTCCATGCCTCCCAGCGACGTATGCAAATAGTTTTGCTAGCAGGCTAGCTAGTTAGCTAAAACGAATGATACCAATGACCCTGTAATGTAGAGGTGAATGTAATTTATATATTGACACAAAACAAACTAGATATTACAACACTTGCATTAACAGTATAAACACTATAACGACGACAAGCGTCACATTTAAGAAGAAGCGGTATCACGGTTTGTGGGACGAGTAATTCTTTTGTATTTTGCTCCATTTTCCAATTGTTGTTTTTTTTTGGTGCAAAAATGATTCAAATAAATGTTTTATACGAGTAATGGGGAGCTGGTTGGTTTGTTGCAGGCTTCAATCTTTTGATATAAAGATTTGTGAAATGTCACTAGAGAAATCATATGAAGAAATGTACTTCTGGAACCAGAGCCGCTGAAGAAGTGAGTGGTCATTGTTTCTAATATAAACTGATCTGTAATCGCAATGGTGGAGTTTCATCAACTCAAATGTACATGGTATGTTATTGATAAACTGATTTGTTATGGGGAAAACGCTGTAAGTTAGGACCAGCATCCTTTTGTTTCTTGCGTATTGAATTGCAGTGTTTGGGCTTTTATGCCTTTATTTGATACAACAGTGGATAGAGTAGGACATCGGGGAGAAAGAAAATAGGGAACGACTTGTGTGAAAGGAGCCACAGGTTGGACTCGAACCCAGGCAGACCGCTTGGGAAACACAGCGCATGGGGCGCAACCTAACTGTTAGGCCGTCTGCGCCCCAAGAGGTTGATCAAATCACCTTTGAACTTGAACACATGGATCAAATGCACATATGATAAATATATCATTCAGTCATAAATCATAAATCATTTTATCAATTGGAACAAGAAACTACATTTTGACTTTAATAGGATTGAATCTCAGGAGAGTCCTGGTATTATTCTGGTATTCATGTGCTAATAATGAAGTGTACTTATGGGTGGAGGGAATCTGGTAAAGAAATATCGTCTTATAGTATTAAACTTCAAAGTAAACTGATAATTCATTAGGATAAATTGCGAGCTCAATAGCTATGTATTTCTGTACAGCATCTTGTCCATACTCAACTTGTATCGAAACAGATTGATCTATATGGAACTAATTTGAGCTGATATATCAACCTGGCGGACTTATCAGCCTGCCCCTCTCTTTGGTTTTATATTTGAATACATATTTTGTATTTAAATATGTTTTGAAAAGTTACATTAGTCTTTGTTAATTGGTATTTCTTAATTTATTTGAATTTCTTGAAAAAGAGACCAAACTGGTTTATGCAGAATGAAACCTGGAAATGTTAGAAATGATGATTTCAAAATGAACTGCTGCTCCTCGGGAGTGTATAAGGCCTATAGTGGGTAAATCCCTCCTTCCTTCAGCCCACAGTATGTGCCTCTGATCCTCAAGGTAGGGGCAGCAGCTCCATAAGTGATTGAGAACATAAGCACAGTGAGTGTGCAGACAGGAGTGTGGAAATTGCAAGGTATGAGAGTTTGGATTATTGCATCTCAGCTGGGCATAGACAGATAAATGAGGCAGAGTGCGGGCTGGCCAGACCCTTCAAATGTGTGCCAGAGAAAGATGGATTGGAAAAAATAGCCAAAGTGGCTCCAGAAGAGATTCATCATTC